AACATCTGGTGAGATTGCAAGAGGTGGCTTCTTTCTTGCTCTGTTCAGCAAGCGTTAGTAAGTCCTGGAAGATAATTTGATATAAAGAGTGTCAGTCTAACAACTTAAAAATAAATCCATCTGTTACGGTGAACTATTCTCTTTCAAGTACTAAAACTTTAAATTGAAGTGACAGACTGGAAGTTTACATTGAATTTATGGAAGGACACGTGGTTTCTGTATAAAGGTAAAGTTTTGAACTGACTTCTGGGTGTATTCAATTAACGTTTGTTTTTCTTTTACCCTTTAGAATTGTGATCTGTCAGGTTGTGATCTGCAAGAAGCTAACTTGAGGGGATCTAATGTAAAAGGAGCTATCTTTGAAGAGATGCTGACACCTTTGCACATGTCTCAGAGCGTCAGATAGGGAAGAGAATATGCTGAAGAGGAAGGAATCAAAACATCTGTTGTGACTTTCTCCACCTCCTCCCCTTATTAAGTTAGAAGTAATGGTTATTAGACAACTTACATCTGCAGTAGTGCCTAAGTAAACTCTTCTTTGATCACTTTTTGGGGGAGGGAGCTTTTGTTTAAGAGGTAGAAACAGACACAGCGTTTACCTTTGCAAACAGAGTGAGGAAGTGGGCTGCTTCTAGAACCAGAACGTGTGGCTGGTTTTGGGGGGAGGGTTAAATAGATTCATTGTTTAGCATTGCCTCACTTTGGAATGCATTTTAATTTATAAAGCACAATATATGCAATTCTATTTATTAAATCTGTAGCTGCAATATGAATAGAAAATGTTATTCATGTCTAGTAGCAACAAAGTTCAGGTTTACAGTTAGACTAGTGTATTTACAGTTAGTTTCTCCATTCATGCACAGTGGATTAAAAGACAGATGTGGGTGAGACAATGTCCACAGGATGTTTTCAGGTACTCTTCTGGGGTGAAAACAGAAGTTAACTGTCATCGTAGGTAATTTATTGCCTTGTAGTAGTTTGAATGCAGGTATAGAACAGCTTTATCATCTTCTAAAAATGTGCAGTGGAAGCTGCTTCCCCTGAAGGGATCTGCCTGCACAGCAGATTTAGTTACAACTAAAGCATCCCTGCTCAGCAATGGGATGTCTTGTTTAATCCTTTCCAAATTAGTGTGAAATTGCACTATCAATCACAGCCGGTAAGAAAAATTCTCTTGCTTTCAACTGTCCTAACCACTCCAAACTGGAGTACCTATAGATTTTTTTCATTCTTTGTGGGGAATTAAATGTACAGAGGAAAACACAGTACTGTCACCAAAGCAGAGATGAGCACTGGGGCCACAGCACATGCTCCATCCTCCCGTCATTACTCCAGCAGATGAATAAATGGCATCTGTTTCCCCTTAACGTACTATGCAAATACTCGTGTACATTGAATCCTTGAAAGCAGGGGCATAATCCAGATCTTAGTACTCCACTTTGGGCCCGCTTAAAGTGGCTGTAAAAGCATCTTTCAGAGGGCGGATTGCCCTTTGCACAACTGCTTTACCTGTGAGCAAATAGGGAACTACGTGACTTCTGCAGTGCAGAAAGCCTCAATTTAAGTGGTGGTGCACTTCATTTAATAAGCTCTTTCCACTGTAGTATCAATCTAGTTCTCATCTAACGCAACATTTATTTTGTACACAATCAAAAAGCACACAAACTATAAAAAAAAAAAAAAAAAAAAAAAAGGTGCATCAAGAACTCTTACCTCAGATGCTTAATTAAAACACCCCAAAGTTAAAACTAACCTTGAATCTAAGGAAGTACAGCTGTTACTGGAAGTTAAGAACCAATGTATCCCAAAACTTACAAAATGGGACACTGTTAGCAGCAGGTTGAGTTCCACAGTTACTTCAGTGGCTTAGCTTTTACATGCAGTGCAGATTTCCTGTCCTCTGAACAGAAGTTGTCTCGTCTCGGTAGCTGTTACGAAAATGCTGCTTTGCCATCAATCTAGAAGGAATTGGTTCAGGACCAGTATACGATTCGTTTGGGGGGAATTGCAGGATTCTCCCTTATTTTCAAGTTGGATTGACTCAGGCATATGACATGAGCTTCCGGGACTCAAAATCCCACAGCAGTGCAGTTCAGAACTGGGATTTTATTTCCTCCAGGTTCCCAGGCCTCTTGATCTGGCTCTAGGACAAGACTGTGTCCTCAGTGAAACAAACCTATAGATTCAAGGGAAATATTTCAGTGTGGTTTTGGAGTTCTTTCTCCCACCTCATCGCTTTCATTGAGAGTGATGTATATGTTGCAGTAGAAGAAGATTCCTAGGGCTAGAGAAATAAATGAATTATTTTTCTTTATTGTATTTTGTAGCTGGCAGAAGTAAAATATTGTATGGAAAAAAAAATCTATTTTCATAATCACTGTGTATAAAATATATTTGAACTTTCACTGAAGCACTATGTTTTGAATAATCACAGCATGTGGCATCATTCATTCACAGATGAATTTAAGGTACCTCTTTTGCTATGACAAAGCTGTATGAATAGCCCCAAGTGGCCTATTCAGAAGTTGCAGGTTCCAGCCTAATTTAAATTGCATTAATAAAAGCGTGAAATATGAAAGTGTCTTGGCTGTCTTAATTGAAAAAAAACAATCTCAATCTTACCTGATGTGCACTGGAAGGACAGCAAGGTAGGAGAGAATGCAGCTTTTCCCTTTGACAGCTCCTTGTATACAAGCTTGAAAATACTGTTGTGGAAGTTGGGTTTGGCTTTTGTGAGACCTTGACTTTCACCTTAGCCTGGACTTGCAGGTAACCAGCACACTTTCAAACAGGCGACTTGTAAACTAGGAATTAGTGATGGTTGAGTACTTAACTGTATGAGGAGACTGATTTTAGATGTTCCTTCTGCGCAGGCACTTTGCACTATGGCAGAAAGAAAAAAAAAATAGTTTGTTTTTAAGCATAAAGCTTACCTGCTAGGAAAACAAGTAAGTGTACCTTGTGTTGGGGGATTGCTGCAATGTTTTCGATACCTTCAGTTTGAGAGTTTTTCTGGGGTTGGTGGGGTTTTGACTTGTCATTCATCTGCAACACTTTTCAGCTTTTCTTTGCTGCTGCCCTTCATATTTGCTTGATAAAGTATTTGGAGCCAGAAGTCATTAACCACAGTTTGCGTAGGTATGTGCACTATTCAAAACACTCCTTCCACATTAGAGATGATCATCACACAGCACAAGCAGCCAAACTCTTGTCTCGCTCAAGCGCTTCTGGAGGAAAAAAACCTGTCCTTGAGTTTGGTCTGTAAAGTGTTTATGATTTTGGTCTACTAAACTCCGTGGCACAGCAGCGATCATACAAATACAGCCCATGTGTCTATGTGCTCGGAGCACCCTGAGAACAAAATCAGAATAAAAATTGAGTTCCTCGCTCGCTCAGCTCCATCATGCTCCTTTGGGTTAGGAATGGTGCCTACAAAGCCCAAGAGACTCAGCAGGTTAGGAAATGCCTTTACAAGGCGTCAGGTAAGAGAGAGATCTTGACTCTTAGAACGGGAATCCACAAGCCCAGGTTTTCCTGACAAGTCCCTGACTCCCAGGTAGGTACTTGACAGCACTGGCCGGCATTAAGATTTCTCTCCCCAAACCAGAAAAACTAGTGCACTTGAAGGTCCAGGAGCTCTTCTGAAAAGTCTGTGTCAACCCTATTCCTGTATCTGAAAACTAAAGAGAGCTCACGTGGTAAAAACCCGGCTTCACACTTCGATTTTTGGAGAGCACAAAGCTGGCACCTGCCTCACCTTGGATCAAACCTCCATTCAGACTCTGCCTCTGCCAAAATCAGAGGAGTTTGTAGGGTTCTGTTACACACGCCCCTAAAAGGATTTGTGGGCAAACAAAAACAGCTGTAAACTTTTTTTTTTTTTTTTTTAATCTCCCAACTCCTTTATGTAATTTACAACTGTAGCCTAGAGTTTAAGAGAAGACGTGGACCTGCTCGCTACCCAGCGCAGCTGTGGGCCCTTTGTGAAGTGCTTTGTAGCCACCACAGAAACCTGCAGAGAAACACAGATGTGGAAAGCTGTTAGGGGTAGGCTGTTTTTAGACCTAGCTTAAAATGGTGGGTTAATAAAAGGTGCAATTAATAGGGCTAATCACCTTTAAATGTCATCCCCCAGGATGAACAAAAAATCTTCTATTTACCTTTAAATAACCTTAATTTTTGCTAGGCTTATCAAGGAAGGAAGGAATCTTAAACTCACTTCCTAAGTGATGTGCCTACACCGAGGTAACATTTCTCCCCCTGAAACAATTTTCACAGCTTGATCAGTTTATCAGCTGAAGTTAAATAAATGTTGGCTACTCTTGCCGTGAGTAGGAGGAGCATTACAGCAGGAAGAATTACTCTTTGCTAGTCACTAAATCCTCCTTAAATTATTTACTCATTAAATTACTTTTAATCCGTTAATCTCAAAGAGGTCATGGGAGCAGGAAGAGGATGTTTGAAGAACACTAAACATGATACATTCAATTGCACATAAAACAGTGAGTAGCAAGTCGAAATAGCTGCCAGGTGGGTGAAAAAAATATTCGATTTCTCTAGTCAAAATTACTGAATTTAACTCCTGCATGCAAATAGCCATCAACTCCTTTACAAAACTGCAGTGCATAAACTCTCCAGAATGAAGAATATGTGTACATACACACATATATCTATAAAAAAATCCAAAATAATGGTGGTTCTGGGAGCTCTAGTCATGGAAGAGGCTCCATCGTGACAACAAAGCCTATTTACAATCCAATATACTGTTCCGTTTGATCAGTTTAATACTACTTTGCATTTTATAGAGCGAAGAATATCAAGGCACTTTAACTGAAACCTGAAGGAGGACTTTGACAGGAGCACGCCGAATGCTCTGTGCACTTGGGCACTCAGTGGCTCTTGTTTATGCACCGCAGAGCTGGTTCCTTCATGCCTGATAGAGACTCAGCTGAATTCCTCACCCATTTCTACTCCTGCAAGCCCCTCGCAACAAATTCAAACTCACCCAAGAACTTTTACTTAAAAATCAGAAGTCACTGAAAGAAAAGACGGTGCATTTTTTTGCAGGGCAACAGCAGTCAGCTAGGTTTGAATGTCAGATTTACAGCCTCTTAAAAGAAAGGCTGTAACTTTTACGGCTCTTAGAGAAAACAGCTGAATTTAATAGCTACACCAAGGGTGTTCCAATTATGTGCTTTACTTCTGCTGCATTACAGCAATTTTAAGAACAAAATTGCAGCCTGTGAGATAGAATTAGATAAAGCTACCTGCTGTGAAAGGTTGGGTGTTGGGGTGGTTGTATATAAGAAGCGAGATGACAAGCATTCTTGCAGGGCATTTTCAAACAGAAGATTCGGAGTTACTCCGCAACCTCTCTCAGCAAGCAGGTAATGTGATTGAACAACATACCATATTCCCTTTTTATTTAGTGTTTACGGATGCTCGTATTAGAAGAAACTTGCATTAGAAGAGACTGCAAAGAGCATTTTTTAAGGAGCGGGGACATAAGAACAGAAATGGGCTAAACCAAACACATCTGTCAAATTATCAACAGGGAATCATGGAACCTTTGAGGTCCAGACATTCCTAAAACTCTGAAAGGGTGTTCAAAAAATATTAATTTAGATCCTCGTCCAAATTTTTCAGATGTTAAATCTCTTTATAATGAGCTAATCCACACTTTGAGATGCTCAAAACCCAGCTGTGGCTCACACGTAGGCACAAGGCCACTGGGGTGTAGATCAGAACTGGAGATCCAGAAATGTAACATTTTCATAAATCTGTAAGATAAAAACCGGGGCTGTAATGTCATTACAATCAGAAAGATGTTTTGTTCTCTCTCAGGATGGAAAAGTCCAGGAAGATCTTTGTCAGCGTCCTCCTGTTTGTCATGGCTGTGGAAATCTGCTTGGCTCAACACTGGTCTTACGGTCTGCAACCAGGAGGAAAAAGAAACGCTGAAAACCTGGTGGAATCCCTTCAAGAGGTGGGTTCTAGCCTGTCAAACACCCTGTTGTTTTAGCTAGGATCCCTTATCTGCAAAAGATGGAAAAAAGAGGCTTTATCTGTGTCTCTTTCCCCCCAAGCATACACACATACAAACACATTTTTTCACAGGAGCCATTGGACAGTAACTGGCATTAGGGTAAGATGGGATCGGAGAGCCTTGCATAGAGAACAGTCAACTGTGGGCAGAGAGCTTGGGCAGCCTGCTCTGAAGGGGAGATGGGAGTTTGGGTTCCAGGTTAAACCCAATTTCATCCTCTCCTGGGGCTGCAGCCAACTCTCTGATGGGCTGGTTTATCACAACATTCCTCCACTTCCCCGAGAATGCGGCAATGGGCAGCGGCCGCGCAGTAACCAGGGAGAGGGTAAGCGATTACGGGACAAAGCAGATGTGGAAGGTTCTGTCCACCAGTGGTTTTCCCATCCTGCCTTCACATGCAGCCCCCCCTAACAGCACATCTACCCTCCGAAGCTGGCGGCAGCACAAGTGTAGCACCTGGGAAAGGGGAATGTACCTTGTGCAGTGGAAGAGTTTCATCTTCATCTGTAACTAGGGTAGAGTTGTTTTAGCAGAAAACCCTCCCCTCATGAAGGCTGTATTGCTTCCCAATTCAGATTGCGAGTGAAATGGAAAAGCTAGGGGACGTGCAGAAGACTGAAAGCCCGGGCTGGTACCAGCACTCCAGGTTCAGCAATCTGAAGGAAGCTGTGGTAAGTAACGTATTTTTAATTTTATCAGTATGGGAAAATTAGGGGAGCGGTCCAGGCTGGGAAAGTACATGGAGGGAAGAGGAAAAAAAAGGTGGAGGAGGATGAGGAAGAGGCATCTATGTTTAGTTCACATGTGGCAATACTGGCCCTGCCCTTATTATCTGCTTCATTCTCAGGTGCCTCAGAGTTACAGCTCTGGGCCAGGACTACATTATTCTTACGCTCCTCTTGTAGCAATGTCATTACTCCCTAAATTAAAACCGAAATAAAGTCAAACACATTCTACCTTAATACAAATCTATGCAGCATTCACAGATGCTTAACTTCAAAGGCACGCTTTGCCAGCTGAAGGATCAAGCCATATGGAAGCTGCTGCTCCCAAGGTCCCCAGACTGGGAAATGTATTTGCCATTAGATGCTCTAACGCAGTGACAGCTGAGGCTTCTCATACGAACTAACTGCCACAGAAAGAATACTCTCAAGCAAAAACGGGCTCTTTAATTAATATAGCAACACCTTGATCAGGCCAGATGGTCGCCACTCTCTGGGAAGTGTCTCGGAGCTGTCCTAGAAGCAGAAACACTCAAATCTGTATTTAATTTCTGAAGCCAAGACCACAAGTGTCAGGCACACGCTCCAGCCCTTCACTGCAGAGCCTGGCCTGAATAAAGGCTCAGAAGCTCCGTAACAGGAAGGCAGGCAGGTCAGAGTCCGGTGTCCACTGGCTTTTCATGCAGAAACTACACAAACTACCCCAAAAATACATCTTTTAGGTCATATCTAATCCTATTTGTACTGAACATAAAATGGAATCTTTGCCCACGACTCTGGCTTCCAACAGCACTGCTTGCAGAACGAACAGCCAACAGCAGTCACTTAATGTTTAGACATGTACATTTTTTTTTTTACAAGAGATCGTGTTAGGCGGGAAAAGATATTAGAATAATTATCAGGATATTTGAAATGAGTCCCTGATCCTTTTCGCTCACTGAGGGAAACCCTGGCCTTTCTTTGCAGAGCTGAGGGCACCCCCCGCCCCAGGCAGACACTTAGGTTTGCTCAGAAACTGCTGGTAATCTCGTACATAAGTGTAAAAACTTCTAAGCCTCGGCCTCACACGCTTGGTTTGCATCTTATTCCTGGACTATCTGAACTACGTGGCCTTCTTATTTCTAACTGCTTAATAACAATTGAAAACAAACAGAAATTTTCCCAGTGTAACACATTTCGGGAGTTGCTATATTATGCGAAGAAAGGGGAGGTGTCTGGAAATGGTCGAAATTTTTCGAATTACCTTCATCATTTCCCGGAGAAGCTGGTAGTGAGCACAAACAAAAATACACCTAGCTAAGACATGTACGGGGAAAAAAAAAATAACATATTCAGACAGTGCATCTACCCAGAACACCTCACGCTTCCAACTCTGAGGTAAGAACATAAATAAATATTCAAGCAGGAGACCAGATCCAGCAGGATGCGACACAGGAACAAGGTTTCCTTTTGAACAGCACGAAGGACACAGAGAAGGTGAGAGGGCGACTGTGCCACTCTGATGACCCTGTCACACTTCTGCACACAAAGCTTTCTTGTCTCTGGTCTCCTGGCCAACTGCTTAAGCTCACAGAGAGATTCCACATACCGACGCTTTGTGCAAGTTCACGCTTCTTGGCCTAAACTGCCGTCAAAGCAGCGTTCAACAGCTGTGGGGCTGCTCTCCGCAAACTGCTGCAGCGGTGGCCCCACGAACAGATGTAAAGTTGGTCATGCACTTTGGGATGAAAAGGGCCATTATAAGTGTCAGTTACATTATACTGTAGGATCAGATCCATGGGCAGGTGGCGGAGAGATCATGTCGGGTCAGATTTATGTCATTCTAATCCTCCTTCCAGTGAAGGCCACAATATGAATATTTTAGCATCTGACCAGGCTTTAAAACTCCATCATCAAAATTGTTTCTTCTCTTTAAAAAAAAAAAAAAAAAAAAGTCTATGATGTGTGTTTACAGGAAAGTCTGATCGAAGGAGAAGCTAGACGAAAGAAGATTTAAATCCACAAAGCCAAACGGAACAACGGACCCAGAATAAAATTTCAAAGCTGTGTTAAAATCAGTTCCTCTTCAAATGGCCTTTGCTTAGATTGCATGATGTGAATAAATACTCTGAAGCTGCATGTAAGTAGTAGACGATAATTGTTGTGTAGATTACCAGTTTATATGTAAAAGGGAACAAATTCCAGCCCAGTGGCTGGACTCGGTGGCGCAGGGTCTGCTTTGTCCCCTGCAATGAGAACTTGGACGTGACAGCTTTTGTTTCCCACGGACAGACAATGCCTGGACAAAGGCACCGTCTGATCTCACTAGTCTCCGGATAAAACAGTAATACAACTTTGTTAAAAATCAAGAATAAACTTACTGTTGGAATGCAATTCCACTCGCACTTCAGCAGTCCGTGTATGAAAGACTTTTTTATAAGCTCTTTTTTTTTTACTGGTTCACTCATAAAAACTACATTTATTTTAAAAAGGTATTTACAAACTTTACAACAGTTAATACATTTTAAAAACCACGGAAATTTATACACCTCGCTTTACAGACTTAGTGAATCACATGTCATTTACCCAGAGAGATGCAGACTCCCTTTCCAAAGCTCAGCTCCTGCTCTTCCTTCAGAGCCAGTTTAAAAGCTGTACTTTTTGCTGATTGAATGGCAGAGGACTAAAAGAAAGAAGAAAAAAAAAAAAAACCAAAACAAAAAAGAAAGAAAAAAAAAAAAGAAGGTATTTGCAGTCTGCAGAGGTGGGTTTTATAACTAAACCATCACATCCAGATTCTCAAAACACTCACAAAACCACGTTACACAACATCCATATTCTCCTGAATTCAAGACAAACATGTCCCGAGGTTTATCACGTCATGAAACCTTTATAATGCCAACAATGAAAAACTACATCAAGTAATACCATGCATATTGGGGCTGAACTTCAGAGCCGCTGAGGACTTACACTTCTGTTTAAAAGATACAAAAACTGCAGACCATGCCTGTGAAAAACAGGTTCAAAGTAGGCAGTCGTGCATGTTCAGGGGTTTCAATGCCAGCCTTAAACCAGAACGGTCAGAGCAATCCAGCACAAACCGACGCTTTTCACCTTTTGTTAAACTCCTCTATACTCCTTTGCGCACTCTCTGTAGCGCCCACACGCCCTGTCCTAAAGGTGCTTTAATGTCAATAGGAGCAGAATTAGGTGACCCTCACGGGCTTTTGAAAGGCTCCTCTCCTGCCATGCAATCCAAAATAAAAAAAATAATTAAAAAAAAAAATCACATTATTTGTTTACTTTTTCTTTCTGATGTAGTCCTAGGAAAAGCTCACCCTGGTCCACTAGATAATTTGGTCTGCAACAGTAAACATTACATAGAGAACTTTTAATTAAAAGAAAAAAATAATAGAAGAAGGTAGAATGGGTCAGGAATGTCTCCGCTATGAAAAAAGATTACAGTTAAATTACAGACGACTTATTATTTCCATTTACATTTATAAAAATAAATAAGGAGAGAAAATCTGAGCCATTGTCACTACAAGTCTAAGTCAGTGTTAGTCTGTGGAACTGGCCTGCACGGTGTGAAGGTTATTGGATGCAGGTTCCCAAACCCCACTGCATATACGTTACAGTATTTTCTGCCGCTGCAGATCACAGAGCTGTTCTCACTGGAATCGGTGTCCTTTCCTAATCCAATAATCCACTGAAATGGAAAGCTGTCTGTTTCTCTCTTCCCCTGACGTGGATTACAGCCTGTAACATTTTTAAAGGAATTTATCACAGCATGACAAATTTTAATTAAAAGCTCCAGAAAACAAGTGTTGAGCACATTTCTCCAAAGGAAAAAAAATAAAAAAAATAATCCTCCAAGACTTGAAATTTAACACTAGCTTTGAACAGCATGGCTATGAAATGGGATTAGATTTTGTCTTCTCTGCAGACTGGATATTTAACTTTGAGGTTTGTTTTATTCAAAACTATGAATCGGGTAGAAACGCTGCTGTTTGCTTTCATTTCTGGCATGCAGAGATGACATCGTTATGCACCGTTCTCCTACTCCCCGTTTTTAAACCTCCAGTTTAAAAGACAGTAGATGACATTTCCAAAAGCATCTAATTTAACGTGGAAAGAGGATTCTCATTTTGAAAACTAAGTAGTGAGACCTTAGATTGTCTCTGAAAGTTAAATCTCAGATCTTAAGTCAGGTGGGTGCCGTGCAGAACACTCAAAAAAATCAGGGGTCTGGTGGGAATTCTTGTAAGAGTGTTGGGTGCTTAATTCCACTTCATTAAAATCAGTCAGGTCACATGCTTATTCACACACTTAAATGCCCAACTGCCTTTAAAAATCTGACACTTAGAAGACAATGCTTTTTTCTAAAGCTGGCACGAAGCCCTAAATCTTTTAGGCGCAGTACAAGAGATTTCCATCTTGTACCTCTAAGCAAACTGCTGACTTGTATCAGCTAGGAACCTAACTCTTCCCTTACCCCAGTCAGTAATACATTTAGGAAAATTGAACTCCTGTCTGCGAGTTAGTTTGCCAAAAGGCAAGAAGGAGACAACAGGAAGAGTTTCCAGCACTTCAGACTCAAGAACAAAAATAATGCTAAGAAAGAAAAAATAAAATAAAAAAAAAATCCCCCAACGTTAAACCCCTTTCTAGCATAGCAAAATTTACCAATGAAAATGCCCGAAGGATCTGGGGAAGGGCAATGTCGCTCTGTACTCTTCAGGCATCAGCTGTTCCTTTCTCCTGCAGTTCGGGTGATGCCTCAGCTAGAGCAGGCTCCAGCTGGGCTCAGAGCTAAGCCTGAGCTGTGGGACAGCACAGCGAGGCGAACTGAACGTCAGGGGAGCTGCCAGGTGAGACAGCCCAACTGCAAGGCAGGTCGCATCTTCGCTGCTCTCTAAGGAGCTGGCTCTACAGTAAAAGCCAAAGATCAAAATATAAATAAAAGACCAGTTTAAGCCACTGCTCAAATGACACAAAGCACTAGAGCCAGCGCTGGGATGGGTTGGAGCTTTGGAGCCACTGCCCTGACTCTGGGTGACCCGGGCATCCTCCTGCCTCAGGTATTAGCACCCAGGGGCAGCACCCAGGAGAGACAGCGACTGGTTTTATTCCTGAAGAGAGGCAGCTGGCTGATCCAAGGAAGGAAAGGGGAGAGGATAATTGCATGCTAAGTACCCTGTTCATAAACCTAGTCCATAAAACCGCAAAAAAAACACCCCAGTCTCCTGAAGTTAAGGAGCATTATGTAAAGGGTCATTAAAGATCAGCTGAAAAATTCCTCCCAAGTCAGACTTCCTCCCGTGAGATTTTTTTGCATGGAGTAGTTCCCTCCTCCAGGAAAAAAACCCAACCTACTGAATGTACAAGGTACAGCTATGAGATAAAAGTTATTAAACCCAGACCAAACAGGTAGGGAAATAAGACTCGAAAAGGTCACTTGGAACCAAAATACCCAAACCTGATAGCTAGTTTGTTTACTCAGGGGAAAGAAACCATCAGCCGGGATTCCTGCACTGTCGTCTTTGTTTCTGCTCATTTACCAAAGGAGTTAAAAAAAACCCAAAAAACAAAAACCCAACAAACTAAACCTGCCCTGAAAAGGAAATGCACCTAAGAATGAGGCAACAGGCAGGATGCAGACTGGGGAAAGGCATTAACAATAGGTGGTGTTGATATCTACTTTTCTACAACTCAGACCACATCCTGCTGTTCTGCCTAAAGCAAAATTCTCACCAAAAAGTTCTTGTTCACAAGAGAAGAGTTTCAGAGGGTCGTGTGTGCAGCAGGAGGAGGATGGTGGTTACAAGAGGAAGAAGTGGACAAAAAGCAAAGACAAGAAAACCCTGTGGTTTTCAAGTCAGGCAGCGTCTACGTCCAAGAACATAATGTGGAGCTGACAAGTCCTACAATGCACCAGAGAGAGGGGGTGAACCATGGTCAGGTTGTCCCGAAAGGTTTCAAAGATTTCCCCTGAGAAGGCGAAAGCCCAGCAGAGAGTTGTACGTGTGCTACAGCGAACACGACTGCGGATGTATGTGACGTGCCTGCAGACTTCCAGAGTGCTGTGCATCCAGGATGAGCCTTTGACGACAGCATCTGTTGCACAGCAAGTGCAGCTTCTGCAGGTCGCTTTAACTGGGGTCACTTCGGTCTGAACAACAAAAAAAAAAACCCCACAAAAAAACAAACCCAAACCCCAAACCCCCAAGGGTTTCATTGGTTTTGTTTTTCCCTGAAAAAGGCTTTGCTGAGAAAATCTTCCATTACGTAAAATGAACTTCAACTCTTCAGTAAGGTAATGAAACCCATTTAAGTTGTGTGAGCAGAATGGTGCAGTGGCCTGCAAAAAATCCCCAACCCAATGATATTTTTATATTACATTACTACCGTAAGCAACATCCTCAGCAGGGTTTTTAGTAGGGTCTCCCCATCGTCTACCAGATAATCAAAAGCTAAATTAACAAGCAGAATTATTTCCTGGAAGCCCATGACAATCCTCATCAATACCGATGATAAATAAACAGGCCACAAACTACAACCAAACTGCCAACGTTTTGTACAGCTTCAGAAATCAACTTGGATCCAAATTCCTCACCGGGTCCCTCTTTATGATGAGTTTTAAGAAACCGAACTTTCCCAAATGTTTGAACGTAAACTCTGCAGGCAAACAACTCCCATGTTTCCCAGATTCCACAGTGAAATGGAACGATGAGTGATTTTTTTTTTTTTTTCTCTTCCCTGGAGAAATACCAGCCATGACAAAAACTGTTTATGAACAGCCCAGTCACACAGGCAGAACACATGGCAAAACACTCTGCCTGAGAGCGACAAGAGAATTATTCATGCGAATCAAGAGAGCACCAAACTTCACTGCTGCGAGGAAACGTAGCTCCAAGAGGCTGTTGCAACTTTGAGGGGGGGACATACAAAGAAAGTTTCAATTCCTTGACAATAAAACAGTGAAGTTCTTCACAACGCATCAGTGCTGAAACAGGCAGCTCCGCACAGCAACGCAAGAGCTGCTCTCACCGTCTTTGGAGTCACCCAGATCTTCTAAGAGTAGACCAGAGTAGAGATACACTGCAAGTGAAGTTTAAATGGAATTGTTTTCTGGCTTCAGTGCTGCACAAACTCCTGTGAGGCTGCTGCAGACGAACAAGTCCTCTCCCCAGGGTTACAGCCCTGCTGACAGAGCTCCGAGACCACCTGCCCCGAGAGGTGCAAAATGGATCTGCCAGCACTGGGAGCAGGAATCTCAGATGGTGACGTCCTGGTTTTTACCAGCAAGACCTCAGGGGTTGTCTAAGGCCCACCTGGTCCATAAATAACAATGGTATTTGTGTTGAAGCTTCGGTCACAACGCAACTGTGAGGCCAGGCTGTTCTAACAGTGCACAGCAGCCTTTGCCTGCGTGGATCCTGTGAATTTAAAACCAGTAGAACCTAAGAGCATCTCATTTTTTTCTCTCTATGCAAAGACTGATGCTGACATCCCGACAGAGCAGGGAATAAATAATTAAAAGAAAAATTAAAGAGATTATCCCACCCTCCAAGGTAAGAAAAGCTGCAGAGAGCTGGACTAACCCAAGCCAAAGGAAAGCAGGTGGTTAATTGTCAAGTCTTTCACATGCATCCCAGATCTAAATGGCTCCTTGGTCTAGTGGCTGTTAAAAACTTAGATCAAGGGAGGCTACAAAACAAAGTGCAAGTACTGCCGCAAATGGGTGCAGGAAAAGAAAGAGGAGGAGAATGATTTATATTTGTGTGAATTTGTCCAGTCAAAGTAAAGGTTTCAGTAGCTATCAGACTGTTGTTGAGGTCAGGATGTGTAACTAGTTTTGCATACTCCACCCTCTCCAAGTCGCTGGTACCAGCACAGTGCTGGTATCAACGCAGCTTCTATTCTTCTCACACATTCACAGGAGACGCAACTTTTTACACCCTACTAAAAGGCACAAAGATGAAATATCGTACCAGGTCCCAGATGCAAGCACAAACCAAGGAGGTAACATAATTCAGGGAGGAGTATCAACTGCTCTATAGTGTTAAAACCAGAATCAACAGTGAAATTATGACAAAGTACTGGTGAACCTAAACTCTCCATTGGGAGCGAGCAACTGCCACTACTCGAAGAGACGGTGGAAGGCAGAAGGTCTGCACTTCATCCTAAATACATATGACGACTAGCAGGAAAAAAAAGAGTTCTCGTTCCGCTAACAGAGCTCAGGTCTCTGCCTGCAATCAAAAATCTTAGGAGACTGCACATCATACACGGGCACCTGACGTCTCAGGAGCCGACACTTCACAGCCCGGAGCGGCTGGGATCTGCTTCACTTCACACAAGCGGGGCTTGGTGACGCTCCGGGACGGGACCCCTGCGCCAGCACGGCTGCAAAGTCCCTGTGAAAATCCTGCAGGGCACTTCTCACCCTGGTGTGGCTTACCTTGTTCCAAACACTGGTGCAAATCACTACCGTGACAGATTTACACTAGGAATGAGCCGCTGCAATTGCATCAGTGAAACAAAACCAACTCAGGACAGACAAAGCCAAGAATTCCAGTAGGACGACTCCTCCTGCTCTGTGATTAGTGTCTCAGTACTGGAAAGGTAAACCAGAGGTTAGGGAATAGAGTCACAACAATAGTTCCTTTTGGTATTTCCCAGAGAAATCTCTGAGGGGGGTGAATGGAATGGCAGGTGAGATCGCGAGTCTTTCGGGTCAGAGAGCCCCGGTGTGTCAGTGAAAGAAAGCAGCCGTTTCACTCTAGGCGCTTGCTGCTACGCCAGCAAGTGATGATCCTCACTGCAGTCCTTGCTCTGAAGAGACAACGCTGGATTTTCTGGTTTTTGGGGGTGGGGGGGGAGGTTTGGCTTCACGTCTGGTGGGTAGTGGTGGAGCAACCTGAGAAGATCAAACAAAAACACACAGGAAAAGAAACCATTACCAGCAAGTTAAGACGTTTTGCTTTACCAAACAAGAAATCCAAAAGGTCCCGGAGTACTTGATGTTTCTTGCAGGACCAAACCTTTGAATTCAGTCTTTCAGTGCCACATGGAATGGATGAGAGGGGCAAACACGAGATCGCCGGGAGTAACATAAGCGGGAAGGTTTCAGCTCCTAGAACACACTTTAGCTGCAGATACACTTTAGTTGCTTCTGACCTGCAGCCTGACTTTGAGCCAGAGCCATTTGTCCCTCCGTCCCACCTTTTGGTTTTCAGTAAAATGGCAATAAACTCATTTCCCTCAGGGTTTCAAAATTCAACTATTTTTATCTTGCTGGCTTGCCAAGTTGCACCAAAGCAGGGGCCGAAAGTCAAAAGCTTCCAAATCAGAATTGTGAAACTAACTCCATAAAACGGCCGCAAGCCACAGCCCTCCTACCCAGCACAGGGGCTTGTAGGGTGTCCCCTGTTCTTGCAGGAAACTGCACAGGCGGGTTCTTTCAAGTTGGCTCTTTCCTTGGTTTAAGGGGCACCCTGCAAACAAATGAGATGTGAAAGGCAGCCAGGTGAACAAGAAGCTTGTGTGGCTCACCTCCTGCTTAGCCAAAACTGCCCAGATTTAAGGGCTATTTTAACTGAAGGAGGACAGAGTCAACTTACGATGACAACAACAACAAAACCCTTCAGAAATTAACTTCCACAATCTCTCTCGACAGACTTTCGAATCCTTCCCATTTGGCCGCAAGCCAAGGTCAATGCTGCAAGTCAGAACATGTTAGTAATTAGGTTTCTTACAAGACCCAGGGGAAGGAGACTCTTTTATTAATCCTCTCCAACCAGTGACTCCCACAGCATCCCTAGAGCTGGCATATTTCCGCCATTCACACACCTACAGCAGCTCTGCTGCCCCTTTCCAGAAGCACAGTCAGTTCTGACCCAGTGAAGGGCAAAGCAGAAAACTCCCATTTATCCCGTGCCTCAAGGCTCTGTACCAGTGTCACATCTCCCTCTAAAAGAATTAAGTGATCAGCTGTTTTGTTGTTTTCCTGTGCTGTCAGAGGTAACATATTTTGTCAAGTGCGATCATTCTTTAAGTTTTTCTTGGTCAAACTGCAGTTCGTCCCGCTAAGGTACTCTGTAAATCCTCTTTGGAAATTGGACTGGGGAAGACACAGTTTCCAAAGGATGCTTTCTGTTGCTGTGCACTGGTAAGCCATTACAGTCTCACATCATTCCACATCACCCACATTCAGGGGCAGATTCTGACACAATGACCAGAGTATTTGCGCGCTGTTTGGAATCCCAGAGTATAAGAGAACCATTAGTGATATGCAGCATTAAAAAAAGTGGCAATTTGACATTCCTAGAAGGAAACCAACTTCATGAAACTGAGAAAAAGGCTGTGGGTAAAACAGTGATAAATACAGGCTGGTTTAAGTGACTAATGATGCATACTTTGAAAAATTAATTCTTCTGAGCTGAGGACTCAAAGACGACATTTATCATTTCTGAAAATGTGTGATTTTTTTCCCTTCTTTTTCAAGACCAGATCACTGTGCTATTTCATCCTGATCATGTTTTTGAAACTTTTCTATCATTGCGCTTGCTTGTTTTCAATATATCTTCCCACCCTTGCCACACAGTTTGCCTAACCAAGGACAACCCAAAAAAAAAAAAAAAAAAAAAAAAAAGGACTGCACTTGACAGCCTTCTCCTGAAGCAAAAAACTTTTTATTCTTTTGTGGTTTCAGGGAGTGAACCAGTAAAATGATTAGACAAGTTTCAAGTAGCACCACCCTAGAAGCAGCTTGGAAAATTCCACTGGTGGCTCTTTCTCAAAAGCTGTTTTCCAAAGAAATGTCAGCTCTCATTTCCTTACCTCCACAGAATTCCTCGGGTTGCTGTTCTCGTAGGGTTTGCTTTTGGGCGGAGGTGGGGGCGGAGTGCTCTGTAAACTAGCATTTGCCAATCCATCAGCCTGCAGTGAGGGAAAACCTAGAAGCAACAACAATAGCAAGAAAAGACGTTAAACTCGGCAGAAAAGGAATGGGAAAAGGGATTGACCATGTAGAATTTTAAGGGAGATTCATTTAATATCTTCTGCTTTCAATCCGCTAACACTTCTCTGCTTTAGCAACTAAACCAGAATGGATATGTCAGACCAGAACCCCAGTCGTATCTCCCTTAAATTCAAAATGCCCAGAAGAGTTCTATCTTCATCAAATGAATCTAAGCTTATGTGAAAAATGCATGCCTGAGAGAACAGAAAATGGAATCCATTATCACATCTGCAATGTTCAGTGGGGTTTCCTGTCAGCCTGGGCCTCAACCTGAGAATTCACTTTGATTTTAACTCCAGCTGATGGAGTAGATAAGTACCCAAACTTCAGAGGAATTTCTGGGAAGCTGTCCTGCTACTAATGGCAATTAAAACTGCTTGCTAAGTAGAAGAGTGAGGTTTCACATTACTTTCACAGATCTTTCTTCATTTAGTATATTCCTGCATTTGTTTGCATTTCTAGTTGTCACTCCACCCTGATATGTGTTTTTTGGTTTTAATCCTCTCACAAGAGTTTTCTGCTAGTTCGGTTCATTATCTACACTGGATTCTGAATTTATATACACACAAGAGAAAGGACAGTCAGGTCCTACATATGAATTTCTGTTGTTTTAAAGAAAGAGCAGTAGAGTGAGAAATGCAAAAGCAAGCAAGGAAGTTTTATGTTTTCACCTTTGCCATATTTATATGTTGCTTCCGAATTAACTACAGAGCTTACTGGATATGCGAGGAAGGATAACTGCACAAATTGTTCACTTTGCTAATTTTTCAAGACAAATTCCATCTCTTTCAGGTGTAACATTTATGAGCTGAGTTTCCAAGCTACGGAGAAACTTCTCCTGAGACTTTTTAACCACGTGACGGGAGTGACTGTTCATGAATTAACAAAGCCCAGAAAATTTAGCCATAGAGCTGATCAGAAATACCATGCTGGATTGATGCAGCTCCGTCCTGTGAATTCAGAGGGGCTGTTCCTCCAGGATGTGCTGTAACCGCCTGACTGGATGAACTGACAGGCATCTACATTGATGGCACGTGATGTTCACCCTGAGGTTTAATATCCCTTCCCACAAGTCAATACAAGAGAAAACAAGCAACAAACTGAAAAAGATAAAAACTATTCTCTGCAATTCCTCCTATATACTAATTTTGACGAGTGATATGTAAGTCGCAAGTATGTGCACAGTGCCTTTGATAACACTGCCAAATTTTGTTATCTGACAAAAACTCCACAAACATTAACAGCCACTTTCTGTGAACTACTTCAGAGCAGTTCCTCCCTCCCCAGCGAGGTTACCTCAGCACACATACAGCAATTCCAAGGACTGCAGGTAGTGCCCTGAAGGATGTGGCAATACCTCTAGAACAGAACTTACTTTGGGTTCTTGGGGTTTTGGGAGTGATGGGTGGTGGGGTGCGAGGCGTTGATTGCTGGAGAGAAGAACCCTGAAGCAAAGTCAGTCTGTTGTCTCCTAGCTGAAGACTCTTTGGCCTTTGTGCTTTTCCTGACATGCCCTGGTTGAAACAAAGAGTAAACAAAACCTTTAGAAGTCAGCAAGGTTGCTGCACACGTATCAGATATTCAGACCTGTCACAAAGGCATCAACATGCTCTGGAAAAGCCGTGCCTAAGAAAGGTGCATTCAGGTGAAACGTAAGAGTGAAGCCACCGCCCTGGCTAAGCCATGTCAAAAGGCATACGCTGGGCTCCTGTGACACATCCCGTCTTCTGTGGGACCTCACTAACTGGGTAGCAGTAGTAAATTGTTTTTAACAACCTTATTGTATTAACTAAGCGAAGACGTCAGGCTAACAAGCGGCTGCATTTGACTAGCAGTTCTGTGAAATTTGGGGGGGAAAAAAACCCCAAAGTCTTTCCAAACAGAAAAAAAGATTAAATTCTGGGTGCAAGTCAGGACTGCTAATATCATCCAGCGCCTTCGGGCTCTGAAACAAGTCTACTTCAGGCTTTACAGAGCAAATCCCTTGCATCTGGGACTCGGGAGATGTAGTTCCAACTCCTTCCAGCGCCACGTGTGTCCTCTGTGCTCTTCACTCAAAGCACGAGGCCATCTGAATATGGTCCCAAGAGTCCAGGGCATGAATATTATGGTCCTCTGAAATACTTATTGCTTTTCAGAGAAGGCTGTCCCTTACACACGTAATTAAACTCACTGGGCTCTTTCAGAGATCAGTTCTCCACCGTTGAGCAGTTCAGTATTTCTCGCTGCGCAGAAGGGACCACACACGGGTGTACAGTGAATATAAAACTTATAAAAACCAAAGCTGCTGGACGTCCAGCAAACCTTGGGTTCCCTCTGGCTTTCTAACTCCCAAGCAGCTTAGTCAAGAGGCACATAAAATCACTCTGCCCAATTCTCCTGCTGCACTATGTGGCCGTGGAACAGACCGGCTATAAAACCCAGCTTTCTCTGTCCTTTGCGATGTTCTTAAGCACGATTATAACCCTCGACTGCTCACTCGCTTCGGTAAGCTGATCACACACGGAGTTTGCCCTCAGAGATACGGGGGGAGAAGGGAGGGTGGGTCTTCTGTTTTGCATCTCTCAGCTCTCTGCGATGCAAAGTCTTGGACAGAGGTGCCTTACTGCCCTAGTGAACTGGTCGATACTAACAGGCTTTCTCCCAGATCTTTTCCCTCTAGTTTTACTTAATAAAGCGACCAGCGGCTGACATCACGCTTTGTGGGTTAAACCCATTTAATTCAATGGCAGCTCTTCCAGAGGCAGAGGGCCAGGCCTCCTGAACCACTAATATTTACAACCCCAGATTTTCCTCTGGAGTGGAAAGCCTGTCAATACCAAATGACACGATTCTAGAACCACAGTTCCCCTTTTTATAAATATTCTGCAGGCTCCAAGTGCTGGCAGCACTGCTCAGATTTGATGAGAATTCCTGAATATATAGCAGCACAACCTGTTCCTGCCAAATTCAGCTGAGATCTTGGGAGAGAAAGGGAAACAGAAGAACTCATGTTTTCTCATTATTTACACAGCCCATGTTAAGTCAAATTAGTATCACCGAGCCACCACCTTAAATACTCAGATGCCTAATTCTCACAGTGTAACAGTCTTTGCTTAAATCAGGATAATACTCCAAGGTCATACAACTCTTCTTTGGGGCTGAAATTTATCTGTTTGTATTAGGTGATCACTCTGAACCCCACTGCCAACTTTAATGCCTAACAGTCTCCCTCATATTCCTCCTTACAAGACTCCTGTGGGGGTACAGATTCTCTTTTATTCCTCTTGTGCAAATAATTTGCACAAGGAGTAAACACTCCTGCCCTCATGCAGGAGGTCTGGAGCAGAGTACAAACTGGAAGAGCAAGTTTTTCAAAGACCCAAACTGGTGACTTAACTACCAGCTCTTTTTTTTTTTCCAACTCCCCAATCTATCAAGCTGATCTTCACCTTGCAGTACATTTGATTTGTGCAGTGATGCTGACTGATAGCAGCTGAACATCTGGCTTGCCAGCTGGATTTTGGAGTGGGCTTGCAGTATCTGCTTGCTCCAACAAAAACAGAACAATCCTACGCGGTGCTGAGCGCATCACGCAGTCCTCTGCTCTGACAAGAAATGAGGGCACTGAGCACCTAGATGAAACATCCGTGCCTCGTGTTTCCAGTCTGCACCTTAAGCCAAACTGCAGTTTGGTCTGTGACACAAATTTTCCAAATCAAAAAAGCAAGAATTACTCAGATGACCAAGGCTTTTGGTATTTGAACCCCTCCCACTATTTGATGAAGTTCCCAATGACAAACATGGCCAAAAGCAACGGAAACACTAAAATCTCCTGCTGTGGATTTTATTATTGCTTTTTTTTTTTTTTTTTTTTTTTTTTTTTTTTTTTTTTTTTTTTTTTTACCATTTTGGAAGTCAGTTCCGTTTCTGGCTCCTTCTCTACAATAACCTGAGACTTGCTAATACTCCAGTCCTTCCGCTTGAGTTTGCTAATCCGGTTATCACCATCCTCTTTCATGGGCAGCTCCTCAGCTCTGGAAGCTGTTGAGATTCTTCTCTCCAAGAGAGGCTCCAGAATGGATCTGTGGCCCACACCAAAAGAGTGAAAAGATGTGAAACATTAGTCCATCAGACATTTAAAGCACTGTCTGTTAAAAAGCTGTGATCTCTTAGTTTACATAAGAGATTATTGTGAAAAACTGAGTTATGACCATGGAATTTTCAGTGAGATTTCTGCTCCTAAGTCCCCCTGGCAATTCTGAGTATTATGTCTTATGTACAGGCTAAAGTGGGATCTACTTGCAGAGGGAGCCAGACCTGCATTTTATGCCGAGCCTTGCCACCGAGTCTGCTGTGGGACTTTGAGCAAGTCACCCCAACTCCCTGGTTCTCACAGATGCAAATTAGATGTAGAGAAGTACCATCAGGAAAGGCTTCCACATGTGGCAGCCCTTTTTAATGCCACGCATGCAGCTGCAAACAGCTGGTGGAACGAGTACCATACCTCTTTGCAGACCACATCAAACTAAATTACCTTGTAGTATCTTACACCTCTGTTCTCCAGCACTCCGGAGAAACAGGAGTGCTCATCTGAAATACACTGCCTCCATCCCTCTTCAGCATCATGCAGATAATTGGGACTCCAGAGACACACAGTTGTGGGTTCCGTTCCCAGCACTATCCCTAGCTGTGCCTCAAACTCCCTCTCTGTAAAATGCAATAACAACATCAGCCTCCATTTAAAGTTTTAAACAGGTAGGTATTACTGTTGGGCGTGGAATAAATCTTCCATTTTAAGAGTAACTAATTCCAGCAAAGGCATATCCCCACTCTTGTAAATCACACGTAAAGGCTGATTACCAACCCATCTGAACCCGGTCTGGAGGAAGTGCTATCAGATGACGTGGAAGATGAAGAGACCACAGAAGACGCCACGGATGTGACAGAGAGCCGTCTCAGCGTGGAAGACATGATATAGGGCAACACGACAGAGCCTGACCTGCTCTGTTTCCTTTCGGTGAGGGAGGGAGGCTGCAGACAAACACGCTTGTGATAAATCATGTAACACTAACTCACAAGTGGGAAAGGGGAGAGCTGTGCTGCTTTAAGGCACAACACTAAAGAACCAGGTAGGCTTACCAAAGTTATCACACCATACTGCTTCTCCACCTTCTTCTTCAGCTCCCTGAAACAGGCTGTCAGCCTGTCATGCAGAGGCTTCAGCTGTTCTGTCAGCTTCTCACCGTGGATCCTAATCCCTTCTGCCAACAACGGCATCTGAAAGGAGGAACAAAATGAAGCTACAAAAGGACAAACCAGCTCTCCTCTTCCAGGCAGGAATTTTCTATGAATGTTACACATCTCAGACCCCAATCAATGCGATTTGAGTTTGCAGAGGCAAAAAAAGCAATCAGCCGCCGACTCATAACTCGTGACACTGTAGTAAACTGTTTGTTTGAGCTTCATGCGTTCAAGACACACAAACACCTTCCCCATCTGTACCGATGATTCTCTCTTCCCCGCTCAGATTCCACATTCCGCTTTGGAAAACACAGCGCGGTAAAATGTTGGAGTATCACTTCTTAGCTTCCGCAGCTGTACGATAGTGGGGGAGCTTTAACTGGGCTCTGTTGTGTGGAAACCAGTAAAAACTGGTCTGCAGGGATGGAATTTGCATACCGAGAAAACAGGGCAATTTTTCATTGCTATGTAGGTCCAAATAGGCAACTTTCAGGGTCAGACTGACAAAACGTTAGGTGGGATGATTTAATGAAAAGGTAACGGATACTTCATTACACTCATAAGGAAAAAATCTGCAACTTTGGCAAATATTTCAGAATAGCATTTCAGAGCAACACAAGCTACATGGAACATTCTAGATGTCAATTTTAGAATACAGCAGCTTCCTTAAAATAAAAAAAAAAAACAACTGTGCACATATCCAGATTGTTCTTATAGCATTTATCTGCGTTACTGTTCCAAAACAACAATGCTGGAAAAACATCTGCACTCATGTGCACCTTCCCAATATCATACCTGTAGAGCAATTAGGTGCTTAAGCAGTTCAATTTTATCTTGATCTTCAGGTCGTTCTTGAAGATACTTCTCTGTGAAAAAGGCCTGAAAGCAAAGAGACGATACAGACCCCACGTTGCTCTCACAGTTCACTCTGAGTGAAGGATCCCTGTACTTTAAAAGCAATTCATTGCCATTATTCCTCACATTAAAACCAAGTTTTGTCCCTCAGCTTTGTGTCAGGGAGATAGCAAAGAACCACGGTTATTTGTTGAGAACAAAATAGACTTTTATGTTTAAAATAAAAAGTTTTTGGGTTGGTTTTTTATCAGTGAAACAGAGATATGTAAAACAAGTCGCTTCACTGGCAGGGTTTTCCTCAATTCCAATGCCCCTCTCATAGAACAGTCTGGATCTGAACAACTAATAATTACTTGTCGCTCAAATGCGAGTAGCAGAGCGGTCTCTTGAGTTCTCACTCCAAAAAGCCTCTTTCGTTTTCAGCGCTGAGTGACCCACAGTACACAGCGACAAGCAAACAACCTCAGCTGCGGAAAGGTGAACGGGGCATCTCCTGCCTGCAATTTCCTCTACGATTTAAGCCCTTCAGTACAACGTTTTCACATGGGGCTTGTTACTAAGACACTGTAGAAATAAAGGCTGTGTTAAGGTTTTGACTCACAGTTTTGATTCAACAAAGCACCTTTAGTCTGTGCTTCTTATGTGTTTACCTTCAATTAACACAATCTGTTATCGGTTTAAAGTTGAACAAACACAACTACACTTCCCTGGACTGAAGCCTTAAAATTGTGCCAATTGACATTCTGTGCTACAGTGTAGGGCATTGAAACGTATCACAATTCCTGGTCAGAAGAATTTAATTTTTCTTTTTCCTAGATAAAATCCCTAATAATTTTTCATTTGGTTTTAAAACGCGTCTCTGATCTATCTCAGCCTCTGCATGTATTTCTTAGTTCTGGGTTCCATTAACTGGACTGTATGTACAAGTGTTTATAGGCCTGGTGGTATGATTCTGGAAAAGGCTGATGTCAAGAGGAGGTTAGCCCGTGAAAGGACTGCCGGGTAGGTCCCAGCGGATTTTTCTTGCAAGTGTTTAATTATTGCAAGAAGAAAGCCCATGTTAAAAAACGCAGACTTTGGCTTTTGGCTACAATGAAACAATTAAAACTCAAGATTTTAGCCGCCCACAAAAGCCAAATGTTCTGTCCTGATCTTCAGTTGAAATAGGAAAATATGAACCAGAAATGAGTATTTCCAGATGTGGTTACGGATACTTTGTGTTTCCTAGTTTTAACTGCTTTCCCACTTTCGTAATTCTAAACTTTATGTCAACCTTAATTCATAAAACGGGAGGATTTAAGGCCAAATTCAGCCCTGGCAAAGTACGCAACTCCTCTGGAATCAGCAGAGTTCGACCCCAGATAAATCAGACCCTCTCCCATTTAACTTTTGCACTTCATTTCATGTGACTGGAACACATCTGAGGAGAATTACATGTTTTAACACCATCCATTCAGTTTATGGAAATAAGCAATATATTTTGTGCTGGGAATACCAACATTAGATGCTGGGAATAAACAGCTTAAGTTAAACATCACAAAAAAAGGCAGAATGTACGCCGTTCAACTGAAGTCAACTAAATAAACCTGGGTAGGGAATACTGTTTTTTTTCCTGTAATATATGCTCTTGCTGCAAGACTCTAAAGACAAATTATCTGCTGGAAAGAGAAATCCTCATTTGCCTTACCATTTGATATTAATCAATGCAGAAAGGCTAGCTCTTTTGCTTGTCTTTGTTAACTTCCACCGTTCATTGGGCTGACCAAACACCTCAATGCCCCCACGAGGTAGGATCATGTTATTATCACCACTGTAAATGAGGCCCAAAAGAGCTGGATCATTCATCTCTGTGGCAACGCACAGCACTAAAACTAAACACTAAAGATCTGGGGGGTTTCCACCTTGCAGTCTAATGGAAATCTTTTTTTTCTCCTCTTTTTTGAGCTCTGAACATGCAGGTACAGCTACAGAACACACTATGTCTGAGTAACAGCTGAAAATTCAACTTGGATCTCCCATGTTTCAAGCCAGGTCGTCAACATTGTAGAGGTCAACAGACTGAGGTAGAGATAAATGTGAGAACGACCTTTTCGTAGTTGGTGTATCCCCCCATGACTGCGGGGTCCACAATCCCATTCAGGAGCATAGAGAGAGGATGTACAGGAAGACTCCGGTCCCAGACATGCTGCTGGACAATGTTGCTGATTTTCTCATTGGTTAGCTCCATCGTTTCTATGGCATTCTCCAAGGGGCTGACCTCTTCCTGACAGAAAGAAGAAACAGAATAAATCTTCGTTCACCTCCACTGAATATGAAGTTAAGTAATGCCTCATATATGAATGGCAACTCAGTAGTTTCCAACAGAGGATTTTGGACCCCCTGGGCTAACTAGGTTGCCATCTGGAGATGAATGCAAGAATGATCCTACAACTTAACCCGAAGGAACAACAGTTTAGGACTTGGCTGGAGAGTATGTTACACAAGTAACCACTCTCCCAAGCATTATACAGTCAATGTAGAACTTTGCAGCCTTGGGTAGAGCTGTCTGCAAAATGGCATAAAAAGACAAGCACATCAACGAAGACAGACGTTTCATTTTATCCGAAGCAGAAGTTATTGGTGTGCCACGTCCAAGAGTGGAAGGACTAGTAGCCCTATCTGTCACAAGACTCTTCATGAAAGACTGGTGGGGGGATGAGACTCAGCCCATGTGCAGAACTCACCGTTGTAACCTGTTTGACTTCAAACCACTTGAGGATGCCTGGAAAAGAATACGCTGTCGTGTAGGTTGTCCTTTCTATCCACATATTCTAGTTAGAGAAGGAAAAAAAATCCCAAGATGTAAGGAAAATGCCAGCCTTGCAGTTCAATTCTCTTCCAAGGTAGAGCATGGAACCAAGCTTCCAGCACTACCTGGCAGAACTTACACAATGATTTTCACCTTCACTAACTGGGATGGAAGCCAGTGTTTTTGGCAAGAAATACCACATGTATTTAAATGGTACCAACATCTCCAGCAGCAGGCTGTTACCCTCCATGTGGACCACTATCAGTTACCCTACTGTTACCCTACAGCCACAGCTCGCCCTCCACTGCAAATCTTAAAAATTGGCCTGAAGCTGAACTGATCCTTCATGGTTAGAGGCTGGCCTCCTTAAGGAGAGCCTCAACATTCATCATCTACCAGGCACACAGCTGTACTCTGTAGGAAGCTGCGTCAGACAGCACAATATTTAGAGATTCTAGATCAAGGATTGTGAACGTTACAACTTCAGCTACAGAGCCCCTTGACATTATTACACTGGCTTTATGTAAAGGTTGCAATGTGAAGCGCAGCCCTTTGTTTCTCCTACATTTTTATAGCAAAACTCCATTGCCACAGGTGGAGGAAAAAAAAAAATAATTGTGAGCGCGTCGTTCAAAATGCCACCAACAAAATAAATAAATGCATAGAACAGTCTTCTCATAGCACAGACACCCAAGGCAGCTGGCATCAAAAGCGAAAGGACTCACAGAAAACTCGTTTTCTGGATCTTTTTCTCCTTTCCTGACCGGTCGGGAGTGTGTGAACTGCTGCACCTCGTTTGCTCTGTAGTAGCTGGAAAGAAACAGAGTAAATGATGAGCCTACTCACCTCCCATCCTCCTTACACAAACGTTCTTCTGTTTCCTCCCCAAACCAAGCAAATTTAAACAGGACTGTGAAACATTTACACAAGATACAAAGGCACTCCATCTTGTGCTTAGGCTAGTTGAGAAAAATACAGAGGTAATATTGAGGGAAAAGGAAAAGAAATTACTTTAAGATCTGTTCAGGAACAGGTTTATCTTTATAATTAGGTGGCAGGTTCATCACAGGCTTCACAATAAAGCACTGCACATCTGAGCAGCTATAGTTAAGGATGAAAAACTATGAATCCTTTTGGGAAAACAGGAGAGGGAGAGAAACACCCTTCCCGTTTTCATCAAATGTCAGAATTCTCAACAATTCCCTGCGCTCTTGTCAAGTTTGAAGAAAAATACTTACTAGTTCATCAACAATCACAGACATTATATTGCTTCTTGTAGTTCGTATGCTACTCATGAACTAAAAACCCAAAAAGATAAGGGCTGTACAAACAGTTCCTACTATTGAAATTCCCTGGTGAAATGCCTGGGAAACCTGGGTGCTACTGATTTCTACTTCGGGGACAGGAAAACAATATTCTGTACTAGGTTCTGTAATGGATGTGCCTGTCTCTTCTCTCTGTCCCACCACCCCACGGTTATTTGTCAGATTCCTTCAGCCCAGTGAAGCTGTCCCTCCCTCCCACTTCTTAGATCAATAAAGCTAAGTCAAGAAAGTAGGCTGGTTTTAATCAGTGAATATCTCCTTCATCTTCAGCACCTGTGAACTAAGATAGAAATGAAAAATAAAAGTTAGTAATAGTATCCCCAAGCACAACAGCTTAGAATGTTATTCCTTCTCCAGAGTTCTGTTTTAAGGACTGTATTGAGGGCTTTACAGAAGTAAAAACTTGTACGGAAAAGGAAAGCATAAACAATTTGACAATTGCTGCGAAACACCTACCAACTGCACTCGAAATGGCAGCGTTTTACCGGCGGGTAGGGGAGCCCCATACATCCTTTATTTCACTGAGGGTAGTTCAAGCAGAGGCAAGGTCATTCTGCCTGCACTGAAGAGCCAGCTGGATGGCAGCCAAATCTGAACCCAAAACCGCATCGCCACCTTAGATCGCCACCTTACAGTCTTTCTCTCAGGAGAGCTTATTCGCTTGGGCTCCGTGCCATGCTAAGCATGCTCTACAGCTTCCAGTTCAGAACTGGTGGAAGATGGAGCCTCTGTATGTGTGTAGGCATTCCCTGAGACTGGGCACGGCTCACTGGTATCTCCAGTACATTGTTATGATACAACCAAAGGGTGAACAAGGCATTTTATCACAAAAGAGCAAGGAAACAGACTGTAAGCAAAAGTAAAAAAGAGCCTGAGACAACGGAGGTTAAAAAAGCATGAAATTAAACTCCAGAACCATCAGCCCCTGCCTAACACAACAGTGATTTGGGCACTCAAACTTCTCATCTTTTCAGAAGGTGTTTGTAAGAGTCCGAGAAGAACCTGTACCGAATCCAAGCTATGCAGCTGCTCCCCTTTATAATGGGGCTATGCCAAAGACCCGGAACCAAACACCCCCAAACTTTGGGAAGAGTTCAGATCTGGATCCAAATTTTGCAGTTCAGGTTCATCTCGAGCCAAAAACATTAGAACAAACACAAACAGATGCAAAGGAAGTAGCTGAAACAAAGCAGCAATAGAAGAGGCATTTTTTGATACCAAGTTTGGTCTTGAATGGATTTTAATTTCCTATGTGGATTTAGTGCTTGGCAGGCTTCTTGCAAGCGAAGCATCTGGTATCACTGCTTGAGTTGTGCCTTTGTACACAGACTTTTAAGGCCAAAATGGACCATCAGATTCTCTAGTCTGGCCTGAATAACACTGGCTTGTATAACACAGGCTAGAAGCCCAGTAATTTGGTTTCTACTGATGTACATCTTCTCGGAGCACACCTGCCACAGACTGGAAGTCACAGACAAGAACCTGAAGCATCTTCACTAGGTTGTACTTGGTCATGCTCACAATTAAGAGAAAGAGGATCTTGAACCTAGTGGTGTGCTCTGATGCAGAGTTTGGAGTTTCACCAGCATAAAGAAATAATAATTTTTATATATTTTTTTTTAAATAGAAGGGCTGTTCACCCAACCACCTTCATCAACATAATCACTTCACACTTCTTCCAGAGAAAAAAAAAACAATCACCAAGCCACTTCATAAACGCTGGTTAACTGCAAGCAGGAAGAGTGCTTCCACTTTCTGTGTATCCCACTTTTACTGCTCGTATTTTACCTCTTTCACCTAGAAATATCAAACTGGGTCACACTTATACTACAGCAGTCAGCACCACCTGCTTGAGACGGTGGCACAAGAGATCCTGACCTGCAACCTGTTAAGGTTTCATCCTAACAGCAACTAGTTTGACAATATCAAGCTGTCTCTCTTTTTCAATGTGTTTAAGTTCACTACTGCAATCCTGGATAGTCTCATTTTTATGCCCAGTGCCTGCCTTTGAAGTCCCCCTGGAACAAATCTCCTAGCTTGTTATTGTTGTTCACCAATTCCATTATTCTAGGAAAGAGGCAGATCTTGAATGTGCCAAAAAGTATTAAAACCAAAAGATACACTGTTTAGGAGAAGACTTGATCTCTTCTCCTGGAGGGGCAGTGCTGGTCATCTTCTCAGCACTAGGAAACTGGGTCAAGAGCTTCAGGTTGAAGTCCTCCCTTCGTTCATACTCTTTGCCACGGTAGATAAAAATTTTATTCTGTGGGTTGCAGAAGAAAAAAAAAGAGAATTAACACTAAACAAAGCAATGAGAAAGAGCTTTCCAAACAGACAGAGTAGTCTCAGAGATCTAGTTTGCATGAAGGGCTGTCTCCTAGCTTAACAGACAGTCGGAACACGTGAGAGAAGAAACACAGGCTGGAGTGAGAACACAGCAACTCCCGGAGCAAGGCCCTGCAATGGCAACCTCATACTTGTGTAGAAAATTCACTGTTCCACATACAAGCGTTATCGAACAGGTTCATGCTTTCCGGCACTCTAAGAACTCGCCCATTCAACACAGAAAATCTCAGTCAGGGGACGGATTTTAAGAGAACACGTGCGCCAAAAAGTTCTTTAATGTGGGGAACAGCACGCTCCTTGCCAGACCACTTTTGGTGTGAGTTAACTGAGGGATCTCCCTATGCACAAAGACAGGAGTTTTACCTCCGTTCCATTCCTGACCCTCTTCAACTACTGTTAACAAAACAGCCAGCTATGGCAGTTCTGCACTACAGACTTAAAGAACAGACCACGGCCAATTATTTTTCCAAACTGGCCACCAAGCAGTGGTGGTTTCTAGAAGGAATGGATTCAAAAACATGACCTGGAGGTGAAAGCCTTCTGTGTCATCCACTTACACAGTTCCAAGTTAACATTTTCATTTTTCATTAAGCTTGGCTTCCAGTTAAGGCCAGCAAACTCAAACAACACCAGTCTGAAAATGTAAATGTTCCTTAAGTGATAGTCAGGAATATTTTCTAGTATGCTGCACCCTGGCCATCTGACTCACCCTGGTTAGATTCCTGTATTACAGCTAGCATGGATTAGCAATATTTAGCAGCAATCTCAAACAGGAAGCACCTCTGCATTTTAATTCTGCGTGGGACAGACTCTCACTAATGTACTTGAGCACTGAAATGATCCACATCCTGAAAATTAGGTTGATTCAGGCTGAAAAAGCAACGGGATAAATTCTTTACAAGCTAAACATTTTCTAATGGCAACAATCATATTTCTGAGGAGCGTACAGGGCACAAATACAAAAGGCTGATTCTGTTTAAGTCCATATAAGAACACACCAACCATCTAACAAACCCTGTTGCCATGCACTAACTTTATCAAAGCTCATAACACAAAAAAATCTGGTCTCTTTACTTGTCTCATTTTATACACTGAAATGCTTTGAAATCCTTAAGGGATGTAGATCTCTCAGTGTCCTTCAAAGGAAAAAGAGTTTGGCATGTGAATCTTCTTGGAAGCTCTGCAAAAGTTGTGACTTTTAGGGTACCCACCACTCCAGAGCTTCAGCGCTGAAGAATTCTTACCCGGAGGAAAGAGGGGAAACCCTGACCATAGTATCCAACAGCAAAGTACTCTGGTTGTGGTCTCATCGCCTTCATAATATTCTCATAAAAAGTAGCTCGTTTTTTCTGAAAAAGAAAGGCACCAGCATTTTCACTTTGGAGCATTCAAGGTTATTGCCAGACTGTAGCTCACATTCCCTGCGACAGTTCCTCATCTATTAGTTCTCCCCTACAGAATACTTCTTACAATTTTTTTTTTTTTTTGCTACTCTATCTCATACTTATCCATTTACTTGGTTAAATATTTGGTTTGTCTGGGCCAGAATCAACTTCATTTCCTGGTCTGCAAACATGAGAACAATGCCATGTTTTTTAGGATTCCAGAAGGATACTTGAAATCCTTAACTATTGCAACACAAATTAAAAATAAATATGTTCTGAAACTGAGTAGACACAAATGGTGACAAATGTCAGGGAACTGGCAGAAATAAAACCGGGCAGATGATTCTCATATGAAAGAACATAAAGACCATCTGGTTACATCTTTAACCACTAAAAAAACATAATTCAGAACCAAAATGATTCTATAGTTCTGTTTTCATCCACAGCAGTTTTACCACAGAAGTAACAAGGTGATGAGATTTACGGAGCCTGAAAGTACATCATGCAAATGTTACCTTATTTGATTAACACCAAGAAGGCAAAACATCTGCTCACGATATTGTCAGGCTAATTACAAGGTCAAAACCACACACTTCAAAAAAAAAAAAATTATGAAATCATTCTTCTAATATTAAGCTTTACAAAACCATGGGGGTTATGTTGGATTGTTTGTCTTTAACATAAATGTATTTGGGCTTATCCTGCTCAACAATATTAATTTAAGCAGTCAGCAGCCTGCTGAAAATGGAGGAAAAAAAAAAAAAAAATCTTACCAGGAGATTACCGAGTCCCTCATAATCAAAGATCTTGTTTTCATACATGTCAGCCAACTCTTTGCTTAGTTGAATGGCTTTTTCCCACATCTCCATGGAGGATGAAGGGAGGCAGGTGGGGGAAGAAGAGCACAAGCAAAATAAAAGACTCAGTTAAAAGCATTCATTACCACAGATAGGTAAACAAAAAATTCAGCTGATTTTAATTCAGGCAGTACTTTAATGCACTGCCAACTTTCCCTTCGACTCCACGCTGTACGTTTTTTGCCACAGCTATTATAGTCGCACTGCTCTTTTGATTTGTAGATCTGAAAAGGATTTACAAAGCAAGGTTTCTATTGTTACTCCTGATAGGGAAAAAAAACTGAGGCACAAAGAGGTGGAAGGACATGTCTAAACAGCAAAGGAGAGAAGCCCAGGTGGTCCCCTCCTACACTAATACTTCATTCCCTGCGTCAGGCTCCCTCGGGTTTGTCTCATTTAGAACCCAACAGGCAGCTAACGCCGTGCCCACTGCAATGCCAAAAACCTGACCCAAGCCATTTACCCACAAAAAGAAAGGAAAACACTTCAGTGTTTTCTCATCTATTCAGTATCTGTCATTTTTTAGATGCTCTTTGACTAACAAGGAAATGGAAGAATTCACACGTGCCCAGGACAACATGCCCTGCTCGTGGCCAGTACTGTGGTCCCTACCGAAAAGCCAGGCCTAAGCATCAAAGGCCTGTTAGGGAATCACACCTGCTTTTACCCTTGAAACCAATTTCAGCCAGCTACGGTCACCAAGCCAAGGGTTTACCAGGGAGCTGTAAGAACACCGCAGAGAGACTCACTTTGCCCCGGTCAAAGAAGGAGATAATTTCTTGGTAGAGTTTCTCCTTGAGTTCCTGTTGTGAGTAGACGTAGTAGCTGTCCCTCTGGAGGAGGTGAGGGACACATGGCTTCTCGGACCACTGGTACAGAGGAAAAAAGGCAAAGTTGAAAGAACAGGAGCATTTTCAGAGTAACAAATCCTTCCAGTGACCAGCCTCGCCTTCTGCAGGGACGCATTCAGGACAAATCCATCATCAGTGAAAGGGAGAGCAAGACAGTTTTGCAGTGATATAAGGAACATACACACAAACACTGCATCTCCGCAGCATGGTTAGAACAACAAGTAGCCAGTAAGCAGTGACTTCTTAAACCACCCCAGCCAGCCGCTCAGGAAAAACATCAGATTATGCTCTCCCACTACACACGTAAGTAGCCAGAAAGCTTCAGTTCCACGGAAATTTGTTCTACATTAAAAGTTCATTTTAAATCAGTTTAAGAATTCATCAGAATTTTTAAATTTTTTTTTAGTCATTTAAAAATCACTTTAAGATGTTACTACAAGTTTAATTATATCTGCGAAACTGGTGTGATTTTGGTTTAAGGTCTTATGTAGAGACACTAACGGAATGCATGGAAGACATGAAGAGATCGACAGATCCCAATTAAGATGGCTTAGGCTAATGCATTTTACACTGTTCACACAGAAGCGGGGAAAAAACTGCACTGTGATCCCAAACATGGACGTTTTCTCCCGGCTCACTACAGCTCTCTGTTTCACCAAGAGTAGATAACAAATTGATGCGAATAACGTTTTTGCTCTCATCCATTTAGCTGCTGTGCAGTTTGCACAACTGTGAAGGTTCTTAATGACCACCAGCACCCTAGGTAATGCGAAGTCACATTAAAAAAAGAAAAAAACAAAGGTGAATGGTTTATTCTGAGCTGTTTACACTTCATTTAAAACCCATACCCTGACAGTGGAAACTAAAATTGGCTTTAGCTGATACCTGGAGCAGCTCTGCGTGGAGGAGGAGAGTGTACGCTGCCTCTGTGAAGTTCTCACAGTCTGTGTGCAGGTCCCGGAGTTTATACAGATACCTAAATAAACGAAAAGCAATGGTTACTTGATGTGAATGAGTCCTCTATCAGTTCACAGAACACCAAGAGAAATAAAGGCTTCTCTACAGGTATATGGAGGGAAACAGCCTACCTGATATAAATGTCCTCTCGTTTCTTTTCCTTATAAAAATTCTGCCGAGAACAGAAAAAAGTCAAACTTTTACAATGTAAAGCACCATGGATTTGCATCATCACCTCTAGACAAGCATCAGATTTAGATATTTCAAAGACCTTTGCTGTTGTTTTTGCATACTCAGGCACATACATCCCTGCAACCATCCCTTTAATGTAAGGTGGGGCTACTAACACCTCTGGAAAAGTAAGTCAAAGTGAGAAAGTGACTTGGCTAAAGTTATACAGGCTCTTTGGAGTGGAATAGGGACTTAAGCCCACATTTCCCAAACTATCAGCCCCTGTCTTTCAGGGCTTCAGACATGTAGACAAGGACCATGTAGACAAGGACCAGCCACGTGACTTGGTTCTGGACTGTCCATCTTTCTACGTGTTACAGCTGGTGACCTGATTTTGGCCCATCATTAACCAGAAATGGTGTAAGAACTACCAAAAACCCTACCAAATACAACAACAACAAAAATCCTTCAGAATCCACAACAACCAGGTCAGCGAAGAAGCACCCGGATCCAAACCCAGCCTTCCCCATACCAGCACGTTGACAGTGCAGCTCATGCGGTTCTCCTTGCTTTCATCGTGCATGATGGTCCTGTAGTCCAGCAAGTTCTCTAGCAGGCTGCTGACCAGCAAAGCAAACATTTCTCCAGAGGAAGACAGATATTTATGCTTCCGACAGTGCTCCAGGAGGCTGCAGAGGTACACAGAGACAGAAGGGAACACTCAGGTACGTTCTGAGCGGCCGTAAGCAGAACTGCAGGGTAAGTTACCCAAAAGCCATTCAGCTAGCGGAGTCAAACACGTTTCCTGAACAGAGACTCTCACACAGACACCCAGGTCAGGCAGGTCAAAGTGTGACGTCTTGGTCAAAAACCTGGGTTCTACACTTGGTGCTAAAAAAAGGCTCTGATTTTGCTTTAACTCTGAGCCTGCTGTTTCCAAGCTCTTCCACTTACAACCCCCTTGCCCGTTTGGCACCTGCCTCTAGGCTTTCATCTCCAAGTGCAGGGTAGTTGTGCAAGTTGCTGCTCCAGGGCAAAAGCATCATTTTAAGGCAATCAGTCTCAGAATACCTCTACAGCATTAAGATCACTGTCAACTGCACTTTCTCACTATTCACCAGAGTAATGAATTAGGGAAAAAAAAAAAAAAAAAAAAAAAAAAGCCTCCACATTATTCACGTTCTTTATCAAACTTACAGTTTCTCCAGCAAAATCTTGTACTGCTCATCCCCTCGGCCACCCTCCACCTCCTGGTCCAGCTTGGTTATCAACTCATTTTCAAACTGAAAAAGGCAAAAAACCACAATCAAATAGACAGCAACTCTCACGGGTGCGGTGTGAAGATCAGCAATGCTTGCGGCTGGTGTTTCTGAACTGCCCTGCCATCAGACACGGGTTTTATAAGCCAAGCCAGAGGATGCTTTCATTGTTGGAGCAGAATAAAAATGGTTAAGAAGGCAAAATGGCACGATTGTAGTGAGGAAATACAAGTCCTCCCTCTCTCATCCTACAGTCACTGGAGTGTCATGCCCTGGGGTAACTCTTCCCCTTCTCCCCCACCCGTTAGCAGCTCAGTTTTGCTAGGATGGAACAGCAGTCCAGCAGCCAGTTTACAGAATGGTCATTCCCTCACCCTAAAGAAACTAAAGTACCGTCAGTTAAGGGCAATTCACAGCTCTCGGCCATCATAAACACTTGTGACTACTAATCGAAGCTGCTTCCCTGCTGCAAGAACCAAGCCCTGTGTGACTGTCTAGCCACGAAGATATGCCCTGTTATGTGCAAGCAGGTCAAGGACAGTGTCTCAGAACTGTAGCTAGTCTAGAGATGCCACTGGAATGCAAAATCCATGCCACACACATCCCGCTTCCTCCTACCGATTCCAACCCCCCCTAAGACCCTGGGGCCAACCACACCGAAGACTGATGACCCCAAGGGAAGAACGATCCCCTGTGCACACTGAAGCTGGGCCTAAGCTGGTGGGAGGATCACGTCACATCTGACAAGGCTCTGAAATGCCAAGGTGGCTGCCTTTTGGATGGATGGCTCTGACCCATCTCCAGGGAGAAGACTGTCTACAGCACAGCTACAGTGTCCCCCGCCTGCCAGTTCAGATGTTAATGTCTGATATCCCCAGAGGAAAGATGCAAGAATAAGTCCTTAGAAACCACAGCGAAACTTAACCTCAGGGCAAAAGCAAAGCTCCTCTTTTTCCTTCTTTACTTTCTGGTGCTTTCTCAGTAGCAGTAAAAGGTAACTCCTGGAGAAATTAGCACAGGGTTGGAACTCAGGGATCCAGGTCCAGTTCCCTGCTCTGTCCTTTTACTTGTGTAGCCTCAAGCAAAGCGTGTCTGTCCTTTGTAGGACTGTTCACCTTCCCAGAATGGCAGCATCAGTATTGTGGGATTGGTAGTTAAGGAGGGACTAGTGAGTATGTAAGCTGCTACGTAGTCCTGCCACCTGGCTGTGCAGCAGTTTTCTTCTACAGTAACTTACATTTACAGCCAAAGATCTGCCCTGAGGGGAATTTATGTTGCTATTATAAATATAAATCGACATTAGGTTTTAGAGTACTCCCTTAGAGTCTCCAAACTGTTTCACAGTTAAGACACGGACATTCACACATCTACAGAGAGGTATAAAACCAGAGGAATTCATTACTTATCAAAGTCACGCAAAGGTACAGTCAGGGACAGAACCGAAGAGTCCCGACTCCTACACACCCCTTGACAAGAACTCCCCAGTGTTTGGCACAATGCTTGTGTGGGGGGAGTTTTTTTGTTTGGTTTTTGTTAAAATGTTCTCTTCTGCTTGCCCAGCGCCTACTGTGGAACATCTGTACTGAAGATACCAGGCTCAGTTACCATATGGAAGTTTCTGTTCCCACTGAAGTTAAACTCGCACTGCATCATATCAAAGAAGATGGGAATGGTAGCCTTCCGTAGCTCAGGCTCTGGGACCAGGGTTACCTCCAGGATTGGGCCCACCATTGCTGGAATGAATTTTATTTTGTGGCGACCTGCAAGAAATTCAAAGTCAGATACATCCTAATGGCAGGATTTGGATATCCAAATGTCTTAAGCACATTATTCACCTAAAGCAAAGCCCATAAACCGCAGATATTCTGCTTAGAATGCACATTTTATGTGGATAATAGCTACTTAAGGTAGAATTAACATGTTACAGCTCCAAAATTCAAGAATAGTCCAAGATAATAATTGAGCTGAATTGCATACAATGCGGCAAATCACAAAGGCTCTCTGAAAAATTCTACTCCCGTCCTTCACATGGCAGAACATCCTTTATATGAAATCTAAGAAATTATCTCCGCAGCTGACATGAGAAAAGATTAGCTTTTGCAAACTACTCACAAAAGAAGAGATTTTGTGCACTGAAACAGCTGAACCTTGTGTGTTTCCCCACATTAAACGCGAGCAGCTTTTATAAAGAAATAAAGGATTTGAAACCCAGCTTGAGAGCTTTAATAAAAGATAATTCTTGAGCTGGAACTCACCCAGGTTATACCACATATCCCTTATTTTGAAGCCAATTTCTTTCCTCATGTCCCCATACCTAGAAAAAAAAAAAGTATTTAAGAAAGAAAAAGATGAAAAAGGCCTACGCATTGAAACTACCTTTGCAAAGATGCTGAGGAAATTTGATGGCAAACCCACAAAATCTATTACCCTCTCCTTAAAAAAAAAACAAACCACCACACACAAACCTGAATATGCTGGGCGTATATATCAAGGGGTCTCGCAGACAATCTTCTTTACTAAGGGTCTACTAGGTAGTTCCTCAATATTAGATACGTTTGGTAGATGTTCACCTCATCTTTTTTCTTCCCTACCCTGCCCAGCACTAATCCTCAATGCACAGAGAAGAGCCACATGCCATTATGAGAGAAGACTGCAGACTCCCAGGGAGCTGAATAAAGCTGCAGCCCTGCTGCTTCATGAAATCCTACCCAGAATTTTGTTGTATTTGGTGTTTTTCCCTAAAGCTTTAACTGCTGACATCGAGAGAATGCAAAAATATTTAATTACCAGGCTTCTTAAAACTGTCATTATTGCAGAAAAAAAGATAGCAACCATTAACTATGTAAGTCCTAACAAAATTCTGTGACAAGATCTACGAAGATATTTAGGTACTTGAGACCAGCTAAATGCAGAAATAAGAGCTGCTCAGTGTCTTTGTGAATTTAGCCAAATTAAAATTACTTGGCCGTAATACTAAAAATTGCTGCTTTTGGGTTCTGAATGCCTCGGAAGTGCTCTCACTTTCAAAACAGAAAATGCAAGGAGAGAGGACTAAGGAGTCACCGGGCTTTTAGGATCCTTTCTTACCTTCCAGAGGAATCACATAAGGTACTCTTTCAGAACTATGGCAAGTCTTCTATGACAGACTTTACAGTGGGAAAGAATCTTTTGGCAAGGTGCTTAAATTCAGCTCAAACAACTCAGGATCTGTCTGACCAGACTGAGACATCCACAATGTAAAAACCTGACATCTGTCCTCATCCCCTCCCTTTATCATCATTCATTAATCAAGCAGTTCCATGGCATGCTTCCTCTCATTCGAAGGTTGTACGGGGTATGTCTGGAACAGCACAAATGAAGCTTCTTGAAAGCAGAAAGGCCTGGAAACCTTTTAAATGTAAACTCACTTCTTGATAATTTTGTTGCGTTTGGCTTGTGAGAAGGTCTCCAGCTGGAGGGACTCATGAGTAAGAAAGGCCACTGCCAAATGGAAATAGTTATTCCAGAGCTGTGGAAGAGAAACAAGGCTAAAATAGGAGAAGACAAAGGAAAAGCACTAACTAGCACAGCAGAGCTCCAGAGCCCCAAATGCTGCAGCGTCCCAGGTCAGTGTGAATGAGGAAGGTACCAACAGCGAGCTGGAGATGATCTGTGTTCTCAGGTGCAGCAGGCAAGCCAGAAGCCTACAGCAACTTAAAATTTCTCACTCTTTTCAGCTTGTACTTTCCAACTAAATGAAATGACAGCGGGTACACCCATACGGTATTTTGTTCTTAGCTAGTCAAGCACAAACCAGCTACGGTCAGCACGCTGCTCAGCTTGACCTTGTAAAGCCTGCAGCCGTTGTATTCGCTTCCAACTTATTGCTGTACTAACCACAGTTCTGTAGTTCAGAACTGCTTTGCATTCTGCTGCTTCTCCATAAAAGACTACAGACATTTTCTACAGGGATGCTCCATATCAGCAAATTTATTAACAGTGGGATTTGTTTGTTCTTCCTGCCTTTGAGGCCTGGGGTCCGTAAGAAAATCCAGAAAAAAAAAATAAAATTGGAACTAATTACCTGGAGTTCAAAATTTGTTTCATCCAGAAAGAAACGGTTGAGTACAGAGGTAAACTGGTTCACTGCCCGGAGGAAAACCCTGGAAGAAATTAAAACATCCAATAAAAGATGGGTCTTGAAAAAAGAACATTGCAGTTCTGGGTTTACTGGTTATTCTGTTTCTGAACAAAAGAAACCTTGACCGGAGGTGGATGAAAAAACCAAACACTTTTTGGGCCATCCAACCTCCCTGGCAGTGCAGCATCACTCCGGACAGGAGCTTCCCTTAAGTTTAGCCTACCCTCAGCACTGGAGCGTTCAGGAACCCTCCACTTTCATGTCCTCCACGACACAGCGGAGCTACGCTGCCTCCGTTTTGAAGATGACCTGCATGACTGTGCCATGCAAGCAGGAGTCACACGCTTGTTGTTTCTTCATTCTGTTCCCGGGTTCTGCTGATACCACCCGTGGGAATGTTAAACTCACCGGTGTGGTGGATGGCAGGTTTAGGCCAGGCTTTGCTACCCAGCACAGCCAAAGCCATTCCGGTGGTAGAGGCTGAGGAGAGACTGACTCACACAAGGCCAAACAAAGTCCACAACAGAATACAGAAATGAATCTGGGTAGTTCTGCCTTACAGGAGAGCACACTAAACCCTAGACCACACTTATGTCCAACTCTAGCTTTATGTTTGCCATGTGATTCCCCCAGAATTAAACCAGAAAGGCTTTTCTGATTTATGCTGCACTCTCCAGCAGATAAGGGATGACAGACTGCATGATGTGTGCCTTTGGGCAGGAGAAGAAAGATTTCCAGCTCCAACAACAGAAACATGCATGTGCCACAATTTACTGAAATCTAATTTAAATCACTCTGAAACTGTAAAAGAAAATAAGGCATGTAACTCCAGTGATTTTCAAGCCTGCTTGTGTGAGTCACCCTCCTTTCAGAACCAGAAAGGCTCCAAAAAAATAGCAAAAACTTAAAATAGCAGCAACTATATACCTGCTCTGCATCATATTCATGACCATCCAGTCAGCTGCGTAGACATTTTTTCCAATCAGATCCTTAAACATAATGAATGTTTCCATCAGGAAGTCCTGTCGGAAAAATAAAAACCACAGCCCATCAAGTTGAATCCGCTAGTCTTATATCCACATGAAAATATAGGGAAATGCAAATGTTTGCAATTGCCCTGATTAATGACTGCACTGACTAGCAATCAATACACTGTACCTCCTAAAAATGATCTCCTATTGTGTGGGTATATTCCGATAACTGAATTATTTCTGACATCTCATCCATTCAATTACAGAAGGAGAAATAATTCCAGAGAGCATGTTGATCTGTTTAATTAAATCTGTCTTTACTGTTTTGAATTAAGCTGCCTTGTAGGGAGTTCTGGTGCACAAGCTGGATTAAAAAGCAAAACCAATATTCCAAGGACTTGTTTCCAAATGTCTGAACGGCGACAGTGTAACAGCCCTATGCAGGGTCTTCTACAAAGGTAGAAATTATCATGTATTTTCACTTCCCCGATCAGCTAAGTCTTTTCTGGTGCAGTTTAAGAAGGATAGTTAAAGAGAGGTAGTGAACATGGCAACAGACACGTGGTTTAGAACGTTACTGCAGAAAACACACTTTTTGCACAGACACTAAATGCTTTTTGCACAAACTGCTCCAAACAAAGCTGTGTCACACCTTAAGACTTCCACAAGGCAAGGTTGAATCGTACAGTAAGAAAAAAGGAAAAGGAAAAAGAAGAGAGATGAGCAAAGAAGGTAATATAAGAATATTGATCTCTATATTGTGGTCTCTGCAGATTTGAATGCTACCTGTGAGCATTCTCTCTACAAAGGCAGCACATCAGCATTCAAAAATGAGAGGGACATAAAGGAGGTCACATGAGAAATCACCGCCTTGCAAAGATCACAGAGAAAAAAAAAAAAAAAAAGCCATTCTGTTGAGCTGAACAGCTTGCCCTAAAGAACTGGCAAGTGACATCAACGTAGAGGGAGAAATGGGCAGTTGGTGCTGCCTCAGTAAAAATCCTTTAGGCATTATTAAATCAGAGCTTGACGGAAGGGTTTGGACTTGACACGGGGCACCTTGAAGGTACGAATTAACTTCTAAGTGTTAAACCAACCATGCAACGGAGCAATGCCAGGGCTGCAAACACCAAAGCAAACAAAAACCAACGAGAAACAACAAAAATGAAAACAATTATTGCAGTAAAATAAAATGCAATGTTCTATTGGTATTAACAGCTACTTCACCACCACAAACATGGGCTTGCTTCTGTAAATTTAAGGATTTGTAAAAATTAGATTACAAATGGTTATCTTCATTCAGTATCTATTTAAATGTTATGCTGGTAGTTTTAATGGTCATCCAATTCACTCTCTTGACATGTCTGCATACAGAAGCTTTACGTGTACACACAGAAATACAGGAGAACTATCGCTCTATTTGAGTCAGAAGATGCAGAACTGTATGATAAAACAAGACATCTTCAACTTGAAAGCTGAGCTTCAATCGGAAGTTTACAGTTCAGGAAAGCTTTTAAGCACGTGTTTAACCTGACGTTGAACTTAAGTTATGACGGTCTCCCACTATCTCAACTGCTCTTCAGGAAGAAAGTTCTGAATTAAGGCCCACTCAACATAAAATTTGTTTCAGTTCTGCCTGGAATTCACCTTTTTCCAAAATCTATTGGATCTGTCTTCCTGGCACCCTTCTTCCTCAGACACAGTATGTCTATATAACCCTGCTGAAAAGCTTTTCACTCATTTACTGCTGAACAACTGGCAGCATTCCTGAATCTACTCGATTTTGGTTTTAATTTCTTCACAAAAACTTATTCGGGTAATAGAAAAAGCGATTCTAAAACTAGATGATGGGTGCTCTCTACAGACAATGCAGCCGATGGCCTTTTCGATGCAGACGTGACAGAAATGTGTGTGTCCTGTAGATGGCCACGTTGCTCAACAGATTGCAAGGAATTCCAACTGCACAAGGGAAAGAGAGATCACCTTGCCATCCAAAATGAATTACCAACACCTTCTCGTGGGTTTTGAGCTGGCTTTTACAGGAAGAACACAACTCTAGGCTCTTCTCCAGCCAGTACTTAAATACCTAAATAAATAAAAGCAAAACAAGGAGTATGGGGACAAAAAAAAAAAAAGCCAGAACAGTTGCTGTGTCATGCTTCAGAGACTTGCATAAATACTGGGTTTGGTTCTGTCTTTTCTGGGCGGTTTTGTGAAAAATCTGGACACAGCTGCTAATTCTAAGGGTCTCAGAAAAAAAACCTCAAACGTTATGTTTCACTTGGTTTCATACTGAAAATCTTTTGGGACATGAATTGTACACAGTTTTTAACATGGAAGGAACTATTTGCATTGCTGCCCACTAAAGTAAGATTAAAGCGTTTAATTAAACTCTGGAGGAGAGTAAAGAATTCGAAGAGGATCACAAAGAGAGAGTGAAAGCAAGAGAGGGGAAAATGCTTTTCCTTTTCACCTTCATTCACTCTTCTCGTCCCTGATTTTTCACTTGCACAGACTTAAATAGTCAGTAAACGTGGTTTTACCCAATGCTACAAATGCTATTCTCAGGCTCTACTAAGTCAGCAACATCCACTGTGTGTACCCAGCAGGGGTGATGTGACTCTATCCCCAGTGGCTGTGGCATGAGGTGCCTGTAAGTCACTGCTGATGAACACAGTATAATCGCTCCAGACTGAATACAGCAATTGGAAATGACCTTTCAGAAGCAAAGTGTAATTCTTTATGGACTGAGCTAATCCCCCAGCCAGGCTGACTTACAATAATGTCCTGCCTGGTTTTGAAAGTATTGATGTAATGGTTGTAATGGGAATCATCCATCTGCCTCAGGATGGCTGTCATGCAGGCCACAAAAATACCCTAGAATAGGAAAAACAAGACAGATTATTATTTTCCTGTATTAAGCACTCTAAGGTTGAGGTGTGGCAGATGCTTTCAGAGTTCTGCTTACTCAAATATCACTGATCACAACCCAGATTATCTACGTCCTTACATCAGTCTGTGTGACTGTTTAGTCCTCTACCCCAAACCAGTCAAGACTCCCTAAATTTCAGGTAGGAAGTCTTGGTTTAGTTGTCTTTCTCCCCAGGGATCACAGTTTGCAAGAAAAACACCTCCTCCAAACAATGGAATATATATATATATATGTATACAAACCACTCCATCATGTCTTAAAAGTCTTTTCCAACTTAAATGATTTCAGAATTTTATCATTTACTATGGCCAACCATAATTCTCAGGGCAAACATATTGGTAATAGCATTAACTTGACCTTTGATTTATCAAAAATAAGATAGCTCTATGTATCCCAAGCTCCTGATTTTTCCATCATTCTGTACATGAAGTACAGGGCAAATTAAAACACATCAACTTGCTTATACCTTCTAAGATGCCACTCAGTAGTCAGAAATGCCCCTTAGAGATGCCTCATCCTTCAGCATTTAATCCTGTTCAGCCAAGGTGGCCAAAGAGCATTTATTTTTTCAGCAAAGAGTCCTTGTGTATTAGAAACTGCACCGAAACCAAATTCTCTGTGCACAAAGGCCCAAAGGAACTAGAAATCACAGCCAACTGTGACTCGGTTCAAACTGCTGCTGGAGCAGGACAATTTGTATCCTAATACCTGGTCTCAGAAAACCACCAAAATCCATGTTTTAGTGACACAGAAGCCCTGCAGGAAACGGAAAGATGATTTCATAAACCACTGCTACACACTGAAATCTCCCAGGAGAATAAATTCCACTATAACAAATGGTAAAGTAATAACCAAAGCAAGTAAAAGGCTCTCACGATGTGTGGAGACTGTCTGCTCATTCCAATCACTGTGCGGTTTATTCTCCTTAGCAGGCGTTCCATGATCAGCTTGATGTGGTCAGCAGTGGGACCCTGGGGACAGCCAGTAAGGGAAGTCTGAGACAATTCTTCATGTATACTGTTCTACAGAGTGCTCCCTGGGTGGGAGGACTGCCCTGACAGTGGTTAATTGTTATCAGAGGATGTAGAAAAGGAGATTTAAACCACATGAGCAATCGATTCCAATACTCTAGGTATACACTTGGTGGATAACTAGCATAATTGATCTACAGCAGCTTCATTAGCTCATCCTGGCATAGCTAAAGCAAAGCTGGTGCTTTGATTTGGCTTAGTTTTCCCTGAGCAGCTCTTCAGTTCAAACTACTCTTTTCAGAGCAACTTAGAATCAATTTCCATCACTAATGTGGCGAGTAAGTATTCTCCTGGCTGAATAATGATTGTTGTCCCTGTTTCATAGCAGAGAAAATGAGAAACCAAATACTTTTATGACTTGCTCCAAATAATTCAACAAGCTACCAAAGTAGCTGGGAATAACATTTTGGTCCCCGGAAAGGAAAGCAATTGCTTTTTGTACTGTAGTGATAACCACTAACTCAACCTTTCATGGCTCCCTTTTAGACACAGCTACTTTATGTGCAAAGAGATTCAAAGAAGTCTGCAGCAATGCAACACAATTTCTGCAAAACGTCAGAACTCGGTAATTCTTCAAAGCATAAGCTGAGCACTTTTCTTTGCCGTAACTTCTCAAAAGAAGAATTAACCTTAATTTAATTTAATTAACCTCACCACATCTTTCCGATCCAGGACTTCAAGAACATTGCTAAGTAGCTGTGAGCAGGCCTCGTGGTCAGGCTTGTTTGAATTGTCATCCAACTGGCCACTTAGCTGATCTATTAGCAGTGGCAGAAGAGCATCTCTGCATTCTAAAAGAGGAAACAGAGCACCACATCTTGTTGGCCTCAGGAAGTTCTTCAGCATTCAGCATACAGGGGTACCCCATATTAGCTTTCTGCTCATAACTTTACCCTGGACACCAAAACATGCTTAAATCCGCTTGAGTTATCACTAACAGGCTAGAGGGAGTCATAAATAACCTGTAATTATATGTATTGCATCAAACAGAGCACTCTCACCTTCTGCCTCCTCCCAAACCAACACACTGCATCAGGATCCTACAGTATCAGGCATTGTATAAAGACTCAACAGCAAAGAAATTTGAGTTTTTCCATGACAAGGAATATTTCTAAAGATGGATTTAACGGCAGACCACCACTGACAGACATTGAACTTGAAAGATATTTTTGTTTTTAAGGGTGTGTGGCCCCAGGCAGAATCTAGAGACATCCATTTGCTACTTACCAGACTGTTTAAAGAGGTCACTCTCCACTATCTTGGTCATGCAGTTCAGCTTCTGTCGAACTAACTGGTTGTCAGGAATACTTTGGATAAACTTGCTGAACAGTTCACTAGTGTAAAAACCACAAAGGAAGCAGACGATCAGCATTTCCACCCAACGTGATTCCATCCTACACTTACACTGTCCCGCACACCCGGGTGTTCTGTCACCGTGTGGCACCTGCAGGTGGTCTCCAGGCGAATTACGAGGGAGCCCTAACTTATTTTCAAGAAACTTTGGACAGGACTTTTACTAATCCAGAACAGTATTAGGAAACTTCAGGCTCAAACCTGTTAAACTGAAGCTTGCGACCCAAGACACGCTAGATACATCACAAAAGCTTATAAATAGGCAATGCTATCTGCCCTCCAGTGCCAGCGTAAGATAATCATACTTACTTTCATCCAGAAGGAAAGCAGAATTTTGCAAAGCCTCAGCAGACCACTGCTGAAACTTGAAATACTGCTCTACACAACTGCAAGAGCATATCCTTCCAGATGCCCCTTTCATCAAGAGTGATGACTCATTTCAATCGGAGATTCCATTAAATTAAATTCTGTTTGCTGTCTGTCTAGTGTTTATGAGGAAATTATTTGTGTCAGAACAAGAAGGCATGGTTGGGAGGTTCTGGGCAAAGTTGTGAGCACCAAAGAACAGAAATCCACACAGCGTTGTGATTTTCCCGAATAAATACAACTTTGGTTTTCCTGACCAAGGCTATGCCCTTGTCACACATTTTGGTTTAGAACCGGTGGAAACTTGCATTTCGAGGTATCACTCCCCAGTCCTCAAATTTTGGTTTTCAGTAAAATCTCAAAGTGCCTCAGAGCGAGCAGTGAGATGCACAGATTCCTTCGCATAAACTGACTTCCCTTAAAGCCCTGCAAGCACTTCCTCAAATTCACGCACAGCGTGTGCATCGTCGTGTCAGAATCAGAGTGGCTGTTTTTAGGAAAGTTTCCAAAATTCTTCCCAACAGACGAGCTGGGTTTAGAGGACAAACAAACTTAATATGGTTACCTGAGCTCAACGGGCTCAAATACTAGTTTGACATCATTTATGATGCTTGGCAAATACTTTAAAGCTGCACCCTGCAAGAAAAAAAAAAAACAAGGACATAAAATACACATGGAAACTGAATGAGTTAGTTCATTCTAAAAGGGTGTAAAGTCTCAACAACAATGCCCATAGCCCACATGGCAAATCTACTTTTTGTCAAGAGCAAATACGCAGACACCTGTAGCAAACTGGCTTAAGATCAAATTTATGAATCCAGAGAGCCTCCAGCAACCACACATCTGCAGTGCAGAGCGGAAAAGGTGAAGGAGGAAGGATTCAGAGCCAAGGTTTTTTTCTTTATTCTTTGCAAACATCCTGCAGTTCCAGGGATTAAGCTCCTTATAGGCTGACATGAAAAGCACTAGTCAGTTAAACTGGCTCAGTGTTCTACGTACTTCAGCACGTCCACGTACACAGCAGTAAGTTATCTAGTAGTAACATCCAGACAACTGAGTGCAACAGCAACTAAAGGTCCCTCTGTGATGTTCTATGGCTGCTGCCAGGAGGTGTTCTGACTGCATGAGAATCAAAGCCGGGCTTTAAATCACTAGTTAGAAGTTTAGACTCAATCTTTCCTTCAAACAGAGAAAAGCATGTTGGCTAGAAGGATTGAAATGAAGAAAGCAATCTCAAGGCCTCACTGCCTTCAGCAATTTAGTAGCCTCACTGCGTGGCTGCTCTGCTCCTCCTCAGATCATAACCAAAAGGGTCACAATCCAGTTGACATTGGAAAAACAAATATAAAAAAAAAAATCTGAGATACATTTAGAAACCATTTACTTTGTCATTACTCCCATTCCCAACTTTACATTGATTTTGCAGTAGTTTAACATTTCTATCTCCATCACCCTCAAGCTTGGTGTTACTGCCTGAAGTGTCTTCCTCACTGCAGTAGATTACACCTTCACTGGTTCTTAGCTTTCACGCTAGCAGATGTTGAAGGGTTTTCTGCAAAGCCACAGCTCTCATCTTTATTTGATAAACTTTGGAGTTTAAATATTCCTTTCCTGCTACACACAGTTGAAGAAAACAGACGTTCAGAGGTGGTGTGACTCATCTGCATGGGGTTTATGTGCCTCAGAGCTTGTCCCTTTTTCTACCCTCCCCCCCCGAACTGTATCAGTTGATCTAATAAAAGATATTACCTCTCCCTGCAAATTATGCCTACCTTAATCTTGACAGCCTCCTCTAAAGGCCGGTCCATGAGGACATTGAAGGAGAGGAACAGCTTGCGTATTGCATCATTAAATTCATTCCCATCTTCACTTTTCCCATAAAAACTACAAAGAACAGAAAGAGCTAGTTTTACACATAAATCTAGGCTAACCGTGTCATAGTAGTTGAAATATGATTTTATCCCGTGGAACAACATCTTACTGCAATCTCCTTCCACAAAGGCATAAATGTAAAAATGGCACCAGGGATTCTGCAGTAACTTCCTGCTGTAATCTGTTATAAGGAAAAAGCTGCACTTTTTAAACTGCCGTTGCATCAAATTCTGCTTGCGTTCCAAGAACCAAGTAGCTCATTCTGTATTAAATAAAAAAGCCAGAATGAACACGAGGAAAGGATTCCAAACATTCACCCTAAATCTCTGAAAACGTATTCTGAGGCTGTGGTAAACCACTGTCATTGACCATACCCTAAGGGGACAACATGTCATCCTCACCTCACTGAACAAGTAACCATGTGTGCATTTGCTTCTTAAAGTTTCTTAAAATGAGGAAGTCATTCCCCGTTTTAACTTCTTAGCAAGTAACGGGTTCCTTTTCAGCACTACCACACAGTGCTTATAGCATGCTATGGGTGACTGGAAGGATTCTCCTCTTCAAATCAGCAATTTCCATTTTTACTCAACTTATTTGCTCCAGCTGTAGCCAAAAAGGCAGAAAGATACTCCTCTGAATAGCTCAAGGATAGAGGATATGCTGAAAGAATATACCCTCCAGTGGTGTAGACTGGAAGTAACTCTCTCTGACTGCCAAAAGGAGATACAAGGATGGCAGTGACCTTGGTCTCACCTCAGGTACAGTATTCGTGACTGAACAATGAACCGGAATAGGTACTTCAAGGCTTTCAGAGCAGCAAACAGCAATTCTGTCTTGCTGGAGTCATCAGCGTTTCCCACATAACAGTTCAGTACTTTGGTGAGTTTCCTTTGGAAATAACACAAAAAAGGAGAATAAATATAGACACCGTTGCGTTTCTGTGGAAGCTCAGCTTCCTTATGCCAGAGAGGAACTACAGTCTAATAAACAGCTATCGGACAGGGGTTCCTCTTCACAGCCTATTTCCTTCTGAAACCTTTGGCTTCATGGGATGCCAGACTTTCATAACCGGTTCATGAATTCTCAGAAAAGCCTACAAATTTGTCTACACATTCCAGCTTCTTGAGCTGCTTTATTGTTTTCCCCCCCCCCCCAAAATGAAGTGCTCAGGAAGCTGGAAAACCTATTACTGCGAGTGGACTGACACCTTCACACGTTAGCAACTCCCACGTGTGGAGCACAAAGTTCTTCCGAAGCAATACTGAGCGCTCTGAGAGCTGTGAACAGAAATTGCATGAACACGTTGCTGAGTATTTGCTGTCTAGTTTCTGCTGAATCAGCTCACGACCCGCGCGTGCTATGGCAGCTAATATTCAGGGAAAATCCTCTTCATTAAACAACTCACAGCACCCAAAGCGGTGTGTGAGTGATGGCCAAGTGTAAAACAGCTCTTGCGCTCACTTGCTCTGTTTGCCACACTCCCAGCATCCAACCCCCTGCTTGGTCAAATTCTGGCACCTGGAGCACATGGAAGACACTATATAACATCCCAGTCCACTTGGCATTATGCAGATATCACACTGTTAAGCTCAGCTGAAAAGAAAGGCAGGGGAAGAACAAAGCTAAGATACAGGGTGCTCGTTAATCAAAGAAGTTTATTTATAGTGAAGAGAAGTAAGAATGATGATTTTTCCACAGGTTACAGGGAAGAAGGAAGGGAAATCACATGCAAGCAGTGATTGTGTGGCCAGGGCAGGGAAGAAGAAATCAATCCAGGAGACGGGGACGCGAGAGCTTTGCGGAATTGTGTCTCCTCACAGAACCACCTTTAGGCTGACAGTCACCCAAAGAGGCTGAATACTCAGGACTAGGAATTCATGCTCATCAGTAAAAGTAAGAATAGACTTAGAGGGGAAAAGGAGTTTGGTTTCTGCTTTTGCCCTCCCTACTGGCCTCAGTTTTAACGTTTTAGTTGCCTGTTACCATGAGGGGAATGACCTTTAGGTTGAGGGGCACTAGATGAAGGAGCTGAAAGTCAAGAGATCCTGGCGCTATTCCTGGCTTCTCCACCAACTTTCTGGGTATCCTTGGCCACGTAAGCTGTGACTAGCTACAGCACTTCAACAAATGCCTCATTTTTAAGCACATGAAGCCAACTAAATTTTCACACGTACCTAAATAAATTCTGCACGTCAGCTCTTCCTTCCTTGATAAAATAGGACTAAAGATTGTGAGTGGAATTTTTTAAACTGCTTTGAGTTCCACAGATAAAAACGCTACAGGGAAACAGAATTACTCCCACTGTCCATACCCACACATCCAAAAGCAAAGAATTGCAAATTTCTTCTGAAGCAATGACAGTCTGTGTGAGGGAGTTTCAGTGCTAAGTGTAATCTCGTGTAACCTGCACGTTTAAACCTCACCGTGACATTTAATCCTTTTCTGAAGTCTGTGGCCTGCTCAACCTGCTTGGCTGTAGGCAGAGAGTGGAGGTGAACACCACTCTTACCTCTGCTACCATCAACCACAACACTGCTCTTCTTATTTCAGCCACATATGGTTCTGCTTCTGCCCACCATAACCCTAAAACTGTAGCCCAGAGTACAAAGTATACAGACTACTTCAAACTTTCCTCTGCTCGAAGTACTTTTGGGGTGGGGTGGACTGAAAGACTGAAGCAGCTACTGGCAAGACAAAAGAGTTCCATAAGGAGCAATACCTAACAGACCAGATTTCTTATGAATCTGTGTTCTTTCATCAATTCCCCCACAGACCAACTTATGATATTTTCTGTTGTCTTCTGCATATACCCATAAACACCATCCCTACCGTGCCCCACCAGCCTTCTACAGCAGTACTAGACCAAAGCACTCAAAAGTTGTAAGGGGGAGATGTATACAGACTAACCTCATTAAACCCATTTTCTATAGGAAATCAATCATGTAAAAACACGAAGATGTTTTTACAACACAAACACACACACAGAGAGAGGACTACAGTTCAAAAGAGAGTCTGAATCAAAGTCGCACACGTGATTCTCCATGACAGCAGTTTCCTTACAGAAAAAAATTCTTTAAACAAACTTTTTAAAGGGTAAAGGGGTAATTACAGGGTTTCTTTCTCCTTAAAGCAGAGAAGAATCAGGCAGAACACTCTTGTCTGGTCTATGCTGCCTTTATCCCACTGGTTTACTGAGAGGATCATGAGATGCCGTCTGAGCGACAGCCCGTGGGTCTGTGGTGACCAATACTTACACGTACGCCAGGGTCGCACTGAAGTGCTTGTAAATATAAGTTTCAAGTACAGGGTTGAAATGCTGGAACTTGATGTCTCCGATCAAAGAAATAATAAATACCTGCCAAAAATTCAAAAGGAAACAGATGTACAGAGCTGTACAACCTCTAACTAACTCGAACAGAGCACGGTCTCTAATTGCATGTCATTTATTTTGCTGGGGCATAGATTTTTGTTTGGTTTTCGAACAGCATTAGTGTTATTCATTACTCTAATAGTGACTAAATACTGTGGGGTGTGCAGCTGCCTCATTGCTCAGAGGGAAGGTAAGTCATAGCAGCATTTGGATTGAAAATCTTAAGAGATAAAGGGGAGCTACTTCTCAAAGCAGCAGCAGTGACAGAGGAAACAGCATTACTCACAGTCTTTAGGTGACACTGTCATTACACAGGCAGAGAGCTGCTGAAGGCCGTTTTTCAAAGCAAAAAGATGATGCTTTTCAAGCTAGAACCTGAGATTCTGATGATTTATATACTCCCAGCAAACATTCAGGCCTGTTACTACGATGACATGTAGGACATTCTGTCCTCCTGTGTCCACTCCTCCGACCAGTGTCAGCTGGATACATCTGACTTCTTATTTTTTCCTGAACTGCCAGTAGGTATTTGTGGATCAGCACGAAGCGCGCAGCCTCGTTACTGCACTGCTCGCCAAAGCCAGAGCCTTTCCCACACACACTAAGCAGGCTCTCCCATGAAGCAGAAAACTCCTTGTGAGCTCTTTTTACTCATTACAATCCTTCTGTAAGGGTTCAGAGGAGCAGCCATCCCCACTGCCTAAGGACTGGCCTAGGATTAGGGCGCACAGGTTCCACTCCCACCACAGCCAAAAATCCTCCACCACCACGACCCTGAACTAATCATTTCACTTTGCGCTTCAGCTAGATAATACGGCTTTTCTCTTCTGTAAACTGCCTTAACGCAAGAAGTTCTCTGAAGAAATTACTATAAATCATGTGACGTTTATCACTGTTCTCACTGTGGTTACTAAAATGCTCAATGTGTATCTCAGTTTTAGCTCCGGAAAACGCCTGGAAAAGTGTTTAAATATAATTTATTTCTCAGAGCAAAATACCAACCACTCATTGAAAGGAAGCACCAGGAACAGACTGAAAATGTGGCTGAAAAAAGAATACTCTAAATTCACAAAAGAAGACTCACTCACCAGTGCATCAAACACAAGGAAGTCATAGGTTTCATTTTCTGACATTTCCATCATTATATTGAAAAGTGCATCAAGGGTGTCTTGCAAAAACTAGAGGGGAAAAAGAACAGTAAAAGGGTGGAAAGAGATGACTACTTCTGGACTCCTGTATGAGAGCCTACTCTTTTGGATCACTTTTCTCTTTGCAGACTAGCCCAGCTGAACTGTAAGAGCTGCCCATGAAAGAACATTTTAAAAAGGATCTTAGTCCTCTCTTCATTCATGTGCTTGTCATGACCATCACGCTCTTCTCCCTCACTAAAGCAAGGAGGTTCTTTGCTTATCAGCTCCACCTCTCTGTTCTATTTATCTTTTTATCTAGCAAGAGACCCAGTGATTACACTTAATTCTGCCCATATAGTTTAAGCTTGCAGTGGGCCAAATCAACCACAGACCCTGTACTAAGGGATGACATTTTACATAAAGACTGGTCTGCAATGACACAGCATTTACTTCAGCAGTTGTTCAGCCAGTAAGTAAATCCATGACCTTGCATAATGCCAGAAGACCCGCACTTGGAACCACAGAAATCTTACTACTAAACCCTCCAGCAGACCATTTTCTGTGCCATTTCCCCACATTTCAGGTCTGCTGCCCATGGTACTCTGACTATAAGCTCTTTGGCCCTTCTCTGCACTCTGTTCCTAGACCCACAGCAAGTCCTTATTCCAAAAGGAGACCCAGAGCCACTACTGAAAATTAAAAATTAGACTTTGAGTGTAGCTTCTATTTCGTAAGGATACAGGGGGAAATAAAGTCACCACTATCTCCCTGATGCTGGTAACATTTAACTTCTGTAATTCTGGGGAATTCCACTCATGAGAGCTCCTAGGGCAAAGTATAGCTTTTGCTCTCCTGTTGCTGAGCAGCTAGCAGCGCTCTCCTAGCCTATACAGAGAGCTTTTGGGTACAATCCAGTTACAGCCCTCCAAGGTCAACATCAAGCACATACATCAGTGTCTGCATAACAAGGAGATTCAGGTCTCTGTGCATACCTTGACAATTTCTCCTCCTTCCACCTCCATGAGCTTCCTCAGGTTGTGAGCTATGTTCTGAGAGTTAGAACGCCAGTTCAACAAACCCAGCAGGTCAACTAGCCAGGACAGAACATCAGCAATTAGAAACAGATTACAACAACAGACCTGACGGAACGGCCGCAGAACAACACAGAGCAAGCACTAGAGGTTATTTTTAGAATCAGCTTACACGGAAAAGTCACACTGATGTACAGATTACCACCTTGAGATGGTTCTTTTGTCTTGGCAAGAAAGTTAATTTTGGTGTAATTTGATAACGTAAGGTAGACAATTTTGCAGGCTTCTCATTCACTCAAGAGAAGGAATCTCGAGCTAGGAATTTTATGTTGTGCATGACTTTTCTTACTAATGTTTGTGTTTACTTTAGAGCAGCCTCTTGGCGATGGTTCTTAAAATTGAAACCTCTTGTATAAATGATATTAAGCTGCAGAGCTATTTGTCACAGTTCTGGGACACTCCAGGACCTCAGGTTTCATCACAAACTACAGTCATACGAGTCTGGCAGGTTTCACACACATCTGCCATGTTAATGAAATACGTACATATCATCTCTGTTGTGAAACTAAATTAATTTACTATTTGAAACTTGACAGCTTTGACAAAGAACGCCACATTCAGAGACAGAGTTAACATGCAAGGAGGGCAGAAAGGTGCAAACGGGCGAATGGAAGTTGGATTCAGCCCTCATGCACATGGATATGTCAGTGGGGCATTTAACTTCAGCTAACTGGCCAAGCTCAACCCTTGAACAGAACAGGCAACGCTTCACTGGAGCCACGGCTGGTGCCATTTTCAGATGCTTCTTTCCCGAAGTCAGAGAGTGGGTTGTACCAAGAGCCTTCCAGAGCTACTGGAAATCTCACATCATTTACCAGCACATACTGTATTCATTCTCACCTATACATCATTCTTCATTTTGACCACTTTGCCAGCACGCAGTGCAGAGTTAATGCATAACAGCATCCTGAAGAGTTCAGTTCTAATTACTAAGTACTTAACAAGCAGAGGAAAGAAGATAATTAACCTTAAACATTTGATCATTCTGAAAACACATATACACTGATGGGTGCCATTTCTACACATGCCAACAAACCTGTTTGGTTTAGCATTGGTAGTTTGGATAAAATATTCATGTGACACGGTCTTTAGTGGCTGCGTAAACATCTTTGTAGCTTGTACTGACAACATGATGCCAACAATGCTGGGATCAGGCTGCCACTGACACATGAAACAGCAAGATTAAAGCGAAAGCACTTTGCCTACGCTTGCTGCGATGGCAAAAAATCTGCTTAAAGAAAGTGCCCTCTCTGCTTCAAATAGACTGTGATACAGCTAGGCTGCTAAGGCCAGACCTACCGTTCTGGGTGAGTTTGGTGGAGCAGATCAAAGTGGCAATCTGGAAGCTGTCTTTTGTACTATCTTTAGTGGGTGTGAAGTTGGCTAGGTGGTGCAGATTTTTCCCCGAGGGGGCCTCCTTCTCCTCTATCTCCGTTTTGGTACAAGGAAGAGTTAAGTAGCATTTAGCATCTTCCATTTTCTTGTTATCACCCTGTTGGTTGAACACAGCAAAGACAAGGGTTATCCCGGGCTGAGCATCTGACCTCTTGCAGTTCTCGTCTGCAGAGACACTTCAACACAGTCACAGCCAGGGAGGGATTTAAACACCTTCTCACGTCTACAGTTGCTTACTCACATTGTCTGTTTGCGCCTCTACAGCACAGAAGTTGCCCATACTGCCAACTAACTAAGCTCCTTTCAGAACGATTCAAGCCACAGAGTTTAGGAGGATTTGCCCCCACGTCTCACTTCAGTTTTCTACTGCAATGCATGAACTTTTTCCTCTACTGTGATTAAAAGCACTAACTCTCCCCATCACACACTGATCCTCCAAAGCAGGTAGGCACCAGGCCTGTTTGCTGCACACTAAGCGGATGATGTTAGACAAAAAACGCTCTATACACACACACACACAAGGATTTGTGTACTTGCAGTCAGAAAACCCATCAGCGAAAGCAGAGCTGAGGGATTTCTGTCCTATTATCCTAGAAAAACTGTTAAAAATCTCTGCAGTTACGATGTTTACATTTTGAGGAAAAAAAAGTCAGCCAAGAGAGTTGTTTCGGTTAGTTAAACAAAGGTGAAGACTGCGAATGCCCCAGCTACCTTATAAACAATCAAATTGTGTTTGCCATCTTGCAGTGTTGTTCCATCTGCGTTCATCAGCTTCACAAAGCCCATGCCAAAAGCTCTCTCAGACTTATCCCTAGCTGCAAACAGAAAGGAAAATCTTCATTAGGAATCGTCTTATTTATGCCGATAGTATCCATCATGCAGCTCTCTAACTCCATGCAGCTTCTTCTGTATTTAAGAGCATCACACAGGAAGGTGATGGAGCCAGCAAACATTGTGATCCACAGCAGAAAGAGCTCGCTCTCTCTCCCTCCCATCTCAAGGCACTTAGCAGGTATCTGCAACTACAAATAAACACACCCTCTCTGAAGCGTCTTTTGCCACCCGAATTTTAGGGGTTAATCGTGCTGCTAGATGGACATATACAACAGTATAGATATTTTGGTTGGGATTTCGCAAATCCGCTTGTGAGGTATGGTTGTGGGATTATGTCACTGCATCTCCCGGGTACCTTAAGAGAATTTTTTTGAGAGCCCTCCAAGGACTTAGTCTCACATTATTGCTCGTTTCAGGGCTCTGAAGTTGTTTGACGAAACATCTGGCTCCAACTTTCTCATTAGCCTTTCAGTAACCTAATTAGAAATCCTCCTGTAGGAAGACCATTAGAAGCCCACCAGGCTTTGCACTGAATTTTGTGAAGGTCCTGAAATAAAAATAACACCATACACCGAGAAGCCAAGGCAGCAGTAAGCACTGACAACTGTCTTTCAATGGGGCTAACGTGGTGCTTCCTATCTAATTTCAGTTCTAGAACCACCAGTTCAGTTTCAGTTTTGGAAGCACCAAAAAAATTTTTTTAAGGCTGTAAAAAGACTGAATGATTTTTCTGTCCTTGCAAGAAAATCCACTACGCTGGAAATAAGTAGAAATGCAAGCGCTATGCTTTTGGTGGATGCTCAGAAAATCTCAGTGAGAGCAGGAGAGTACAGTACTCCTCCTCCTCTCATACTTACACTCCTGTGATGACCGATGACGGAAAGTGAATCTTAAATGGCAACGACTGACTTCTTCTATTGCAATGGACACCTGCACAGGATAATACAATGAAAAATCCAGCACCAGCATTCTCCATCACCGGTCAATTTACAATCCTGTTACTGATGCACCCACTGATTTTTAAAGTTAAAAGTTCTGTTTTCCACACAAAGAAAGTTTACGAGACTGTAAATGACACGCTCCTACCTTTACAGTTTCATACCAGCAAGGCTGCTTGACTTGATAATAAACAACAGACTTGTATTCGGAGACGCCTTCGTAACCGGCACCAGGATGGATAGCTTTCTTTGGACAAAAAGACAAGGGCGGGGGGGGGAAAGAAAAGGTAAGGTCCAGAATGAAAGCAAGAAGTATCTTGGGTCAGAAATTTTCAGAGCATGTAACTGTCAGTTACTCAAAGCCTTTGGTACAAGGAAGTTAAGTGTCAGTTACTCTTCACAGTCAAGGGAACTCAGTGCATGTCACCGCTTTGAAAGTTTTACAAAATCTTTAAAGATTTGCTCGCATAAATTAAAAAAAATAAATAAATCAGTGAGTTTTTAAATTTGGTCACCGAGATCACCTATAACATCTCTTGCTCGTTATCACACAGTTCTTGCAGACAGTTGGCACATACGATCCCAGGGACTGGAGCTATCACCCAGTGAACACAGCACCCTCGTGACCCCCTGCAAAAGCCATCGTACCTCTTGGAGATTGCCATCTTCATCGTGTACAGACATGGTGACTTCTACGTTCTTGGGAGTCTTCTTCTTCCCCTTGTCAAACTCCCCTTGTATCAGGGTGACATAAATATCATTTCGAACATCACCTAAAATCCATAGCACTCAGTGAGCTGTTTTTCTCACACAGTTTTACAGTTAACATCTTTGGGTACCATGTTATCCTTATCATCTTTTTAGCCTTTACTGATATCAGCTAATTAACGACACCCAACATCCACCATTTCATCTGCATCTCAAATGATACAAAATCTTTTAAAATGTACCACTCGTCTTTTTATAAACCTCTGCCTTTATGTAAATCTTTTAAATGTAATGAGCTCTATAAGGCTAAATCCACTCTAAATGGATTAAATAGAGAAGGGTCAAACCTATATGTAACACAAATGTCTCTTTGACAGAAATCTTCCAAAAAGTACGCACATTTTTCAGTATAAGAAAGGAAGCTCATGTTTTCACTTCTTTGACAGGGAAAAAAAAAAAAAAAAAAGAGATTGGCTGGAAATTTCAAGAAAAATGAAAACAAGTTTTCAGATAGTTTTAAAATAAATCTGTTCATAGCAGAAATTCTAGAATTTCAGCTGTCTCTTTCACTCCATGGAAGCGTAAAGGCATATGGGACCTACCAGGAAGGATTATCTCAGGGAATCCCATTTTGCGAGCCACAGCAGTTGATCTGTCTACAAGGTGGGAAAAATCCTTCTGAACCTGCGCTAGATCGCCAGGAAGCAGTTTCAGGGAGACCCAAAGACCTAAGAAAAGAAAGGTAGCACTTGTTTACGGAAAAAAAAAAAAAAAAAGTATGAAACCAGGAAATTTAAGCCTATGCTTAAGAGAAAACTATTTCTTGGTGTGATCTCCACGCAACAGTGCCTTACGTACCCCAAGCTGATTCTCACTTGCCCAGCTGTCCATGTCCCTAACACTGAATAAGGCTTTACTGGGCAAGTACGTTCTCTGAAGTAAAATACAAACTTTCGGAGATGAATCTGCTAGTGTATCTGACTAAAGGCCAAACACACAAGCAAGAGCAGAAGAATCTGGAATAATGCAGTTTAAACCCAAAGCCATTTAGAATGTGTTCACTTAAAAATATTTTCTGTCCATACACAGAGTTCTACCTTAAAAATATTACATTGCTAGCAAAGGAGTGAGCAGCTAGAGAAGCTCTTTTCACACAAGAACCGTTCCCAGTTCTCTCTTTGTCTTAGCTCCCAACGTGCTGGGGTGACAACCATTACAAAGACCGTATGTTTGGCTCAAGGAAGGTAGCAAACTCCGGGAAGCCTTGATCTCTGGACTCTCACAAGCCATTTATTTTCCTTCGTAAGCAAGGGGAACCCTTCCATGAGCTTCTCGCCCAACTGCTGTACCTTGCCCTTTATGATTCACTTCCTTTGCAGCGATGACTTTGTTGAAGACAGAAGTGAGGGGCTCATTTTCTCCGATCACATGGGAAGTTATCAGTGGGGACATGATTAGCTGTCGCTGTCTGATGTATGTTTCCATGGCAATCCTGAGAAGGACAACAAAAGAGACTGGGAAGCAGACTAACATCAGACATGTGCTCTGCAAGAAGAGGGCTGGCTGACAGCTTGACTGTTTTTCCAAGGAAATATATTATTTTTAAAGGATTCCGTGGGAATTTTTTTTCTTCTTCTTGACCTGGACAAACCCAATAGAAATACATTTAAACTCTTAGATTAGGAATTATATCACAGTGCTAGCTCAGGTTTAGGATAATTAACATTGACCGAAAGGCTCCATGACTATATTTGTGTCATACTGAAATAGGAGCCCTCAGGACAACCATAAATGTAGTCTGCTCTGCTTTGATCTTGCTCTCCATCCACAGGCTGCCCTGCAGACCTGTGAGAAGAAGCCCAGCCACCACGCAGGAACATGGTGGTGTTCCACTATTTCATCACTATGGAGATTAATGGATTAATTTCATCACTATGGAGTTCCATCACTATGGAGATTAACTAGGGAGAGGTTAACGTCACTAGCGACTGCTGTGAGGCCGCACAAGTGATGAACCTCTCCCTAGTCACAAACACGCCTACTGAGCTCTGGATCTCGAACCTGACTTCACTCCTGTCCCCACACCATCAATAACGACCCAAAGCATTTACAAAATGATGTCCTCACAGGTTCCCCATGCTTGTAGAGGTGTCCAGATTAGGATCTAAACTCAGCCTCATCAGAACAAAAGAAAGATGGAAAAAAAAAAAAAAAGACCAACAGTATTCTGTGAAGGAAGAGACATCCGTCTTTCCAGCCTTTCAGGCCCTGAAAGGGTAAGAGGAAAAAAAAAAAACAAAAAAAACAGAAAACAAACCAACCCACACAATCTCCCCCGAAAATACCTTATAATAACATATGGCTACACCAAATGGATTGCTGTATTTAGGGCTGTAACAACACGGCTGAGTCTACCCAAACAAGCCTTGTTTTAGTTATTTTAATGTGCTGAAAAAGTGAGCAATCAGAGAGCAGGCAGAACACACAAGTCTAACCAGCCACACAGAAATGCAAAACACATTGGGGCTTTCATTCCCAGAAGGAGGCAGAAATCCCTTTCCTACTGCCCTCTACTCACCCTTCCTGTGTGCTGTGGGAAGTGGCAGACAACGCACAGAGACCACGAGTAGTGACAAGGAGGAGTTGTGTTCCCTGTGCTCAGGTGTTTCTGGAAATCTTGCCTCCCAACCCCCTAACAGTTTTGAAGGTCACATCTCCCAGACCCCACGATGTTATTTCACACTGTGCTCTTCTTTCTTACCTCAGACGATACGGGTACCCAGCAATTTTAGCTGCATTGCCAAAACTCCCCAAGCAATTTAGCCTATCATACAGACATGTAAATCAAGGGGAACAAAAGCTTCAGAGGACTGACAAAAATCTTTTCCTTCAAAGAGCTGACTGCTGCCATAAGCTAATCTATTTGTAGAGACCTTGGTACACTGCCAGGCTCCCATACAAATTTGTCCTTCTCCAAAGGACAACTGCTTTAAATAAGCCAGATATGTGACGAACTCTGAAGTCCAGTACTTACTGCTGAAACGGAATAAAATGTTGCTTTTCTTCATCATCCACCTTTCCGTGTATGATATCAGTTATGTCCATCACTGCAACAACACAAGTTCATCACACAGGTTTGCCAAGTTGCTAAAGAACACAGAGAGCTTTCCCCTATCAGAATGGAAACAACAGTTGCTTATTTTGGCCCAGTGCCACTCATGACAGCAACAGAGAGCACCCATCTCTTTTTAACTTTTTAAAAAGCACCTTCTCGTTGATGCGTAAGTCAGCCTCTGACAGTGAAGGTGAATATACTCTGATAAAAAACAGATGGTACTCGGGCATTTCAAAGCAAAGAAATTACAGTTAGATTCCAAATGCTGACTATTCTGAAATTGTTTTCCACCACGAATTTCCAGCAAGTCTCTTCTCCAGAGATCACAGGAATTGAACAGGAACTGGATGTCTCATTCACCAGGGCTCCTTTAAAATCTCCAGCTTTATCCCATCAGTACAAGGAGCAAATCCCTTTTTGATAAAGATCTGAAAAGTCTACTGCACTGATGGCAGCGTGTTATCTCTTTAGGGGGGGACAAAACAAAAAGTGAACAGGACCAGAACTTCATCTTCACACAGACCTTTCACTAAAAGGCTCAGAGGGGCACTATGAGGATGCAGCTCAGTGTCAGCATCTCTGTGTTGGAGCCACAGACGGTGACACTAGGAGGCCAGCAGGCTTTGCTGACGGACTCCTGGGCCACTGTCCCAGCCACTGGGCCATGCCATTTCCTCCACTGATGGGATCTGTCGTACCTGCCACGCCAAAGGGTCTCCGGAGTCCACAGGTATGTTTCTTCCCATCTTTCAGCTCCATATGCCCCACCCTCACAATCTGACACACCAAGCTGATTTTCGGTCTGATCAAGTCAGAACTGCTTAAATCCTAGAAATGATTTAAAATACAGTTATATCAATCCACTTTATGAATGGCAAAGGAAAGGACAGAAGGGGTAAGGCTTTTTGTTAGCTTGGACACATATATAAAAGGAAATTATTTTTTTTTTAAGAAGTAAAACAAGTCAAGCCTGAGGGAAGAAAAAATCCACACTACAAAAACACTAGCAATTTCCACACAGCAATTTTTAAACATCCCATTACTCTTTGATAACACACTCCAGCAACAGTACTGAAAGGAGAGTTAAGTGATATTAACTGCCAAAATAGCAGATCCTGATGACAAAGCAGTTAGCTTGTGCCACCTTTGCTACCGGTCAGAAGTTATTCCCTTCAGGTGCAATTTTTCCATTAACATCTTGTTGCAAAGAAGAAGAGGAGGATCAGCAAAGCAATGGACAACAACCAACTATGATCTAGATTTTCGGTACACTTAGGCTCCAGCAGAGAAGTGTTTAATAGGATTTTCAGAAATGCACAGGTAAGCAACACCCACTGACAGTACTTTGCAAAATAATACTGTACTACTGCTTTGGATTGATATATTAAAAAAAATACTTTACAGAGCATTCCCCTGAGGCTGCCTGTAAGATCTTAAGTATCCATGAAAACACCCCAAAACACGACATGATCCCTCTCTGTTGGATGGAGGGACAAGAGAAGGAAAGAACCCAAAACTCAGATGGTTGCAGCGTGGGGGAAGAATTTCCAGGATGTAAATACAATAACTTACAGTAAAGACTGCTTGAAGGTTATTTAGTTTCTCGATTTCTTTAGGCATCCCATTACTGCCCCAACGGACCAGGTAATTTTCACTGCAAATAAAGATATTAAATAAATCCACACCTGACATTGCCACTCCCTGGGCAAAAGTTGAAAACTATTTTGATCTTTTAGGAATATTTGAAAAATTCTGCTGAAATCTATCCCAAAGTGATTCTGAAGTGACTCATTTCAGAGAAGGCAGAAGGCAGGCACGATGTCGATGGGCACTCTCAGTTACTCCCCTACAGAACTCTGACTCCACGTCCACACCTGATAACTTCAGTGATGGAGACAGAGGGTGCCTGACACGTACATGCTTCACTGATAAAGTTCTTCATATCTTCTCCTACCAGTACCAGATGCCCAACTCTTAGGTGTGAACTTGTACCGACTTGACAGCAAACATCATGCATAGACATGATTTAACAGGAAGCAATTAATCAAATGCATCAAGGCTAGTGGCAACAGTAGGGAAACTTAGGAACACAAAGAGACAATCTGAGATTTTAACTAATGTATCACAGAAATGCCCAGTTTTAAGAAGGGGAGTGCATGGGCTCAGAACCTTGTCTTCCCATCTCATCTGAAATTAAATAACCTTCCAAATCACTACTGAGGCAGCAAGCAACAGAACAGAAAAACTCATCTCCAGGATCTTCCTTTCTAACCTCTGCTGGCTTCTTTAGAATGACCACTCTGATGGGTAAATTGTTTATGCCCCTACAAAACAAGCCCTACCTGATGAATTTGGAGAGGTCAGGATCATAGAGGCTCATTAACAGCTCTGCATCTTCTCCGATATTGCAGACAAAATTCTTGAAGTTTACATACAGGCTGTACGTATGTGTCGTGTTGAATATTGGCTGCCCTCGGAGGTCCAAATTCTGTTGCAGGGACTGCAAAGAAGGAGAAAACTCCCATTAAAAACAAACAGGGTAGAGTTTAGTTCTGCTGCCAAAGTAGCACAGTATCCTTAAGAGGAACGCACAGATACAGGGGGTACTAGTTACTTAAAGAGGAAAAAGCCAGCGACAAGAGATGTACCTTCTCTTCCTGGATTCTTTCCTCAATCCTTTTGGAGGCAGTTTCATGGGACTTGAAGAGAGAGATTGTGCTGGTTTCATCTGGGTCCAAGATGTTCCCATTGTCATCTCGTACAACCAGGTCCAAACCTAGAATCCTGAATAGCATGCAAGTCAGGAGAATGAAAGAAGCCGCACAGTATTTAAGAAGCAAAGGTGACTGAATGAGCACAAACCACAGATCAAACTGTGGACTGCACTAGGCAGCCGGTGCACACCAACTCCATGCCTTGTAATAATCACATTGCTGTTCTCCTGTCCTGAAATACTTATCCCTCACCCCTCATTTTCCCATTAAAGGGAAAAATAATTAGGTAACTTAATTCTAAGATGACATCTTCTTCGTTCTCACTTAAAGTTGTGGGTTTTGGTTTGTTGGTTTGTTTTTGTTTTTTTTTTTAAAGAAAGGTATGTATATCTATCAGGCGTATGGATTATGGCTAATTAGTATTGTTTGCCATAAGCTTTCTTCTTAATTGACTGCTTGACCCGAATCAAGTCTGACAGGCAGATAAATGAGTTCTGGAGACAGTTCCCGTTCCGTACAAACCAATGAAAGGTGGAGTTTTGGTGCATAGAATCATATTACTCAGTTGCTGATAAAGCAGTTTAGTTCATAACTGGCAGCCAAATCCTGGCTCCAGCTAGTCAGGCACAAATTGTGCTCCACGGGAAAGACACTCATGTGCCAGCATTTCTGCAGAATTAAGACAGGTAACGTTTCCTGCCAAACCAAAGAGATTGCTGGCATATGAAGAACCAACTGCTACATGCCCACCTGCCAGGCTAGTCACATTCTGACGGGGACTGAAAGCTGCAGTCGTCCCCTTTCCAAGGAAAACCATAAAGCCTAATTCAGTGTTCCCCTCATGCAGCCATTTACACCATTTTGTACATTTTAACAGCCACCTACAGCCTCTACTGGGATTGGGGAGTCTGCTCAGCCTTCAAGACATAGTTTGGAGTTTACCTGTTGCCATAGTCAATCTTAGCGGTGACTTTCTTCTTGAGCTCAGCCAGCTCATCTTTGGGAAGAGTCCCAGACAGTATCTGTGACCTCCATTCTATCAGGCTGTAAGTCATCTGTTGGACGTGCCGAAACTGCGTCGTCTTGTTGTCCTACAGGAAAAAAAAAGGGACAATTTTAAACTAGTGATAGCCTGAAAACAATGAGCTCAGTGAGCTTTCTGAAATGTACTCAACTGAATCTACCATACAAATTATATTTTACTAAAAATATCTCAAAGTATGACACTACAGGATTAGACCCACGGAACAAACTCTCCAGTACTCTGCACTGCTAAGGTTCAAGTGTCTCAAGATTCAGGGTTTTCACTATTTCCTCAGGACATTATTTCAGAAAAACCTCACAGACAAAAAAATGGACTTCTGATGTTTTCCAGCACTTAAACTGCAACGATGGGTGCTTTTAACATACAGGACAGAGAGCTGACTCAGCAGATTGAGACAGGAGCTCCAACTTAATATACAAAGGCTCTTTTCTCCTTACCTCTGCCCCTCTCAGAATGTGTGACGTGGGGCAAGTCATTTTTGATGCACGTTTCCCGTTTGTATTGCCTCTTTAGACAGTAAGACTCTGAGGCAAACACTTTAGTTGCTTTTAAAAGTCTAAAGGTGATGCCAAAACGTAAATAGGAACAACAGATGATCGACACTGAAGCCCACATAGGCTTTTTCTCATGGCTGTTCCTCCTATAGCTTTCACCAGCCTAAAGAACTCTTCAGCCCCTTTGTTACATATAAAAAAGGCCTTTTGTCACCAGAATACAACACTGACAACATTAGCAACACGGCTAATTGGAATCTCTGCCCGCACCACTGTTTACAGCATTAGCAACTACGTTTTAAAGCCAGAACACTAAGCAAATTGAACCCATGGACTCATTTTCATGGCTCCCCGCTCTCTTACTACTCTGTCCCATCAAACACTCAAAATCCATTACATAAAAAAAAAAGAACTTCAACAAAATGCATCGATACCTGGGATACACTGCGTCCCTGCCAGTATGCATGTTATACCTCAAGGTTCACTTTCTAACCACTGGTAACTCACACATGGCTTGTCATGTCCACGTGTGGCCTCCAGACTAGAGTTTCATGGAAATCAGAGTAGTTCTGTGGAAACACAATAATCTCTCCGACTGGTGTCTAGCAGCAAATAAGGCCGATGATTATCTGATCTTCAGGGCACTCATTTTTGTTTACATATGAGCAGAACTTAATGCAACACAGTCTTGACTCATCCCACGCTTTTTAAGCACTAGACAGAACTACTGAAACCGCCGTGCCAGAGGTTGTCCAAAAATGCAATAAAAATATCACAGCTGGATTCCCAGACACCAACCTCCCCAGTCTACCCAGGCACTAGCTCGAGTTTGCTGCAGTCACTGCATTTTTCATCTCATGCAGCAGCTGTTATGATAAAGCACTGACTGAACAGGACGTCAAAACCTGCTCTGCGAAGAGCCTCCTCCTGCCACTTCTGCTGTTATCTTTAATGAATGGAAATACTTCTCATGCTATTTACTGGTTCCACCCATACCAAATCCGTCACACACTTGTACATCTCCTTCCTATAGTTTAAGGCTCTTTAGTTTGACGCTGTAATTAAGAACTGGATTGCTATGTGGTAACCTGTCGTATTTGTAGCGAGATGTGATTCGATAAGTAATGAAGCCTTTAGAAGTGTCAGCTACACCAGTCACCCCATTCCAAAGGAACCCAGGCCGCCTCCTCTCTTCACCACTGCACGCTGAGCCTGTTACTAGGCTGATTCTGACTTGCACCGAGCACCGAGCGCAGCTCATTTTCAGAGAAAAGCACCACAAATCAAAGGACATTAAACTTTAATCGACTCGGACAGCGTTTATGGTTATGCTGCTCCAAAATGACTGTCAAGAGGTTTGTGCCTCCATCTCGCCCAACAGTTAGTGGGCACTAGGCAAGGGTACACGGCTGGTCCATTCAGGCAGCAGCTGACCAGCGTCACTTCTCTGGATCAAAGCTGTTAATGTTTAACTCTGAAGCCCAACTGCTCCCACACAACAGAAGGAGAGACTCATTTCAATTATTTCCCCATTCTGGTCTCTGCAAAGAACATGAATGATGTAAACGACTCGTAATTTGCCCCCTGAGAAGCCGAATCTAAAGGGAGTTACAAATAGCCATCTTCCTTCTGATTTAAACTAATGCGAAGGGGCTGGTGGAGGGTAGATGAGTCTTTTAGTTCCTACAGGGAAGATATTAGAGACATATTTAGCAAACAAAGAAAAAAAGGTGTTCTTAACTTGCAAAAAAATAATTGCAAAGAGAAGGCAACTTGTGTTTGCTTTCAGGGAAATATACAGCAGATCTCAAGCTGACAGTTAGCTAAAGCTGAGTTATCTCTCCAGCTGTTTACATTAGCTAACTCCTATTAACTAAAGGAAGTTAAAAACTCTCATCCATTTTTATATTTATTTTACAGTGGAGATATACCCACCAGTGCAATGCTTGCTGAAAACCACAGAAATTAAAGAAGTGAAATGAAACCTTGCCAAAGAAAAAAAAATCTCCTGTATTTCCTTCTTCTCCTCAAATACCTCCTTCCTCCTTTACTTTAGCTTTTTTTTTTTTTTTTATTTTTATACATACTGCAGGGGAAAATAAAATAAACTCAAATCCATTTCAAACCACAACATTTTCCAAGACTATTTTAAGACTTATATTGGTTAAACACAGGAACATGAAAGATTTCTGCGCTTAAGAAAAATAGATTCTGAGGCTAGGATCCTAAAGTTATTCAGAAAAAAAAAAAAAAAAAGCCAGGAACAAAACTCTCTTTTCACACAGTAATACCGTCACATACAGCTACTCATTAAATTAAGAGGGCGGAACAAATTCTTGTGGTTTCGTGGTGCACAAACAAAATGTACTTGTGGCCTGGTGAAATTTTCAAAAGGAAAGCTTGCTCTGAGTAAACCAAATGGTTAGAGCCAATTTAAAACCATTCTCTCATCTTAATTAAAGTCTCAGAGCACATACTACACAGGCTGAACTCACTATTAACCACAGAAAAAACTCAAGTTTGACTCTCTTTAATGTGCCTTAATCACCACCTTCAAAAGAAGGCAATTCATTGTGAACTGCAGTTGTGTTTCTTTGAGCAAGAGTGCACCTACCTCAGCAAAACCACCAAATTCACGCGTTATCTTGGCTGCTGACTTTCCTGAAGTGACTATCACATGGTCAGGCTACTAAACAGATTTAGTAGACAAGAGATATCTCCCCCGTGCAACTGAAAACTAAATGTATGACGTGACTTCTGACAAGTCAAATCTTCCCCCACCACAGGCAGCGCTAGTTCTCTTCCCATCCTTTGTTTAGCTTGCCTGTTTGAGCTTTAGGCACTCTGGGGTGAGGATCAACCATTCTAATAAGTACCTACAACACTTCTACAAAAACAGAGTTCACACTTGCTAAAGGTTCTGTTAAAACACCGCCATGGTGTCTCGCCCAACAGAGAGATATTGGGCTCATACAGAACAGACACACAAGAGGCAAAGCAGGAAGCCTTATTGCACTAGTGAACAGTGACTCACACGCACAGCCCCAGCCAGCTGACTTGATGCTGAGTGTGACCTGTGCCAGTCAGTGCTTCATCGGTGCTGTGTCATCACACAGTTATTCAAGCACAGCCAACGCTGCGGCACGGACTAAACCACGGTTCTGTCTGTGATCACACATCCCATCCAAGGGACAGCAGAAAACTTTTAGCCGCTCCCAAGACCAATTTTACAATAATTATAGCTTTACAATTCTGCATAATGTTCTAATAAAGTGCCCTGCAAAAAGCCCAGTCTCACCTCATCTGAGGTCATGTAATAAAATACCAACCACCGAAGAAAACTTACCACATATAACTTGTGCCAGATAACTGCCCACTCCCTCAGGGTAGATGTCAGTTCTTGGCCGAGGGGCAACTCACTTGGAATCACTGTTTCATGTTGTCTGGAGAAAAAAAAAAAAAAAAAAAAAAAAAGGAGAAAATATAAAAAAAGGTGTTATACTCGAGATTAAAACTTAGTAGTAAAACATCTTTTTTTGATAACTATGGAAATGGAAATTTCAGACGGCTTGATAGTCACACAGTTCACTCACACACAGTGCCAAGATTCTTAAGCTGTTCAACTGGTTTTCCAAGACATACATGCACATTCACTATCCATTTTTAATGCAAGCATGGTTCAATTTTCTTTCAGTCTTGTTCTTCTCAATGGATCCATTCCAGAAACATACTAAATAGATAGTAATTAAGTTTGGAAGAATCACCACTTGCAGTGGTAACTTGGCCACTGTTATTAAAAAAAAAAAAAGAGAAAGTATTTTCTAAAGTCTCTTCCTTTGCAACTGCTGCTTTCCTCTCACTGTAACAATCACAGAATCAGCTCTAAGAAACAAATGAGGAGTCATTTCCTCAAATGTTTTCCAAGGCAGGAAGGAATTCACACTCCTGCTGGCTACTTGGCTGCGAGCAGGAGTGTGTTATGACTTGCAGGAGTCCCCAGAGGAGCGAAATGTAGTTCGATTGACCTGCCTCACTCCTAACTTCTCTAGCAGAGCTTTCTTATCTTCACAAATGGTATTCTCCTGCTCCTATGCCTACAACTGTTTTGGTATGTATAATGCTCTGAAAAAAACAAGTTAAGCACCTCTAGAAGTCCAGCACAGGTGGCACGCCCTGCTGCACACACTGACAGGAGCATTCGTTACAACCACCACTACTTAAGTTGGGTTTTGGTTGTGTTTGTTTTCAAAGGAAACAGCATTCCACTGGTTTTTCTACCAGAAGTACACCTCAAGTAGTGCCAACCTACCCCCGGTCCTTCACGATTGCCTCTTTTAAATGGATATACGTTTCGGGGAAAATGCCCTGAAAATGAACACAGAAATAAATAGATCAAACCATAGGACATGACACAACAAAAACGCAGTCAACAGAAAGTAGGGGAAGGGGGTAAGAGCATGATCAGCAGAGCAGTGACTGATGTTTCCTGTTTACCTGTAACAGAAATGTTTTAAGTCCACCAGTCCCAGTATCACAGGAAAAAAGTAAGGAAGGAGCATCAGGCTGCATGCTTGAGCACTGTATTTGGTATTAGCACCTCAGAAAATTCAATTCCTTGTTTCACTGTAATGACACTCTTCTTTCTGTATGAAATGCTCTAAACTCTTGGAAACTATCAGTCATACTCATTTGTCTTTGCTACGAAAAATAATTGGGAGTCATTGTCAAGTTGCCCTGGACCTGCGCTTCTCTAGAAAAGCTCACAACACGTGAGCATTTGTAGAAATTCACCGGTCTCGTGTTTCCTTTATTTAAGAGAAACCTTCTCGGAGTACTGCAATTCTTTTCTATTTTCATTCCTCTTTACACCTGAAAAACGGAGACTGAGAGGGATGTTACCACATGAGAGGTGCCAGGATTCCTATGGGAAACCAGATTTCCATGCAGGTTTCAGGCTGGTTTCACAAACCTCAAGAAGTTTGGCTGAGATCCACGCATGCATAATTTTTTGGAATATTTTCCAAGTCAAACCAAAACTCTAATCTTACCATTACATATAACTAATGCTGGATGTGTCCAGGTCCAAGACCACAATAATAAGGCAATAAGCTAGTGTATGCAGATATGCAGCACTCAATTTTGCTAGTTCAAACTACATTATGCACGCTCACAACGGAGAAGTACCCAGTTAATGGTTCTGAAACATTTAGCTCAAGGGCATTTTATTTCTATCGCTGAGGAAAAGGACATATTGATCAGGAGACCTGCACAATATTAAGACAAGGAAAAACAGCAGAAGCATTGCAGATTAGAGCACCGGATGGGGCCTGGCAAGGTGTAGGAAAAAAAAAAAAAAGATAATCAGAGTTACTGAAAAGTGAGGTCATACCTTCTTAGATTTATTTCGGAGTGTGTATCCTCGGTACCAGCCTGTCAAAGGGAAATAAAAATATTTATCACAGAATCACCTACGTTGGAAAGGACCCTGGAGATCATCTAGTCCCACCGTTCGCCTAGCACAGTTCCCACCTACAGCATATCCTGAAGCTCTAAGTCGACCCAACTCCTGAACCCCTCCAGGGATGGGGACTCCACCACCTCCCTGGGCAGCCCATTCCAACGCCCAACAACCCCTTCTGCACAGAAATCCTTCCCAACATCCCATCTAACCCTTCCCTGGCGCAACTAGAGGCCATTCCCTCTTGTCCTGTTGCTTTCTACCAGGCTGAAGAGGCTCAAACCCAGCTCTCTGCACCCTCCTGTCAGGTGGTTGTAGAGGGTGATGAGGTCTCCCCTCAGCCTCCTCTTCTCCAGACTGAACAATCCCGGTTCCCTCAGCGGCTCCTCACAGGACATGTGTTCCAGACCCTGCACCAGCTTTGTAGCCCTTCTCTGGACACGTCCGAGTAACTCCATGTCCTCTCTGGAGTGAGGGGCCCAAAACTGAACACAGCCATCAAGGTGTGGCCTCACCAGCGCCAAGTACAGGGGCAAGATCCCTTCCCTGCCCCTGCTGGCCACACCAATCCTGATACAAGCCAGGATGCCATTGGCCTTCTTGGCCACCTGAGCACACTGCTGCTTGCTGTTATGCATTTTTTTTTTATTTTTTTTTCTGTCTACAGCAATTAAATATGCATTGCCGTTCTCACCCCATTTGTACAACATAATCTTGCTCATTTGAGATGTGCTATCGTGAAGACACTCCTGCTCTGTTTGTAGGAGGCTCAGTTCCCAAGAGCAGGGTGTGGGGGGTCTCTTCCTACCATGAACTGACACCCTCACTCCTACTCTGCTGGTCCCTTCAGGTTGCACTGAGAGCGCTCGATGGAAAAGCAGGCCACTCCGGGCTAGACATCTGCAATGTGACAATCCTTGTTCCATAAAGCTTACAAGTTACAGACAGAGCACAGGAGTACTGCTACGGTCACTGGAGTGATGAGGCACAGACATGCACGTGGAACTACCCGCCCAAGTTCATACAGCATGGATAAAGAGAAGTATCTTCAAGTGTCCCAAGTCCAATTCCACTCCACCCCTTTAAAATTTTCTTTCCTCTGAAGTGCATTTTCACCCAAATCGTCTTATAGATTGTGTCTGAGTTCCACACTGTACAGGTTCTTTATTTTCTTCGTGACTCAGTTTAAAGCCTTCCTTCAAAGGAAGGCTAAAACAGAATGTTTTATTAGATAAGGCAAAAAAAACCTGAACAACCCTGAACTGCCTGCCCTGGTACAGATATTGTTTCTCAATATTATCTTGACAAGATCTAGTGAAGTATAAGATACAAAGTAATATCTGTGATCCCCAAGACTCAGAAGCATATGTCACTCTCAGAGGTACATTTCTTCTCTCTTTCAGCACCTGGGGTTTGACCACAATTTAGATTTCAAGGTCACCGAAACGCAAGCGTACGAAAAAAATGCTGCATTTTTAATGTCCTCGAGCCTTGCTTAATGAGCGGAGAGGAGAGAAGCACAGTGGTGGGCAAGTCACTCCTACTCTTCTTCCAGCACCTCCGAACTGTGTGAGACAAAGGGGCTTTTTCTCTCCACCCTCACCGTCCTCATCTGTCTCGGCTACCCAAGAGCTGGGCGTGCCCAAGGACTCTTCCCACCGGGTGCCATAAGCAACAGTTCCCATCCCCTTCAGTCCCCTGAAGTTACTGTCCTGGAAATAACAAACTCAACATTGTAGAAGAACCTGCTCCGCTTGAAATGCTGACGTGCAGAGATAACGTCCCCTCATACCGTTCCGGGATGCAAACTTGCACTTTCTCACTGACTCTTGACCACTAAAAACATCCTTCTAAATGTCGGGACCCTGCGACCCCAACTCTCCGTCACCCGTGCTCCCAGAGCAGTGGGTTTTGACCCTTCTCCTAAGGTTCTACCTGCACTGAGACTGCAAACACTGACCCTACGTCTTCGCAAACATGAGGGGGATAGATTATGCTCTGTAATGCAGGAATGATGTTCAGAGCTGCCCAGACAGTATCACTGATCCCGGACAATCACATCTCAGCTGACTGGCAGAGGGAGAAGCATCAAGGAGGCAAAGGGATTGAAGGGAACAGTTAGACAAAGAAGAGAGGAGGGAAGGTTGTTGTTGTTGTTTTTGTTTTCTTTTTGGTTTTACCCCCATATATTTCTATATTTAGCAAAGAAGGTTCCATGAAGAGCCATGCATCTGAGATTCCTCAACCATAAATTGCATTTTGGGGTGTTGTTTTTTTTTTCTTTTATTGCGGGTTTGTTTTGAGTGGTGGTGGTGTGTTTGGCCCTTTTTTTCTTCCTTTCTTTTAAGCACAGTTTTGTCCCCTTTCTCTAGCAATGAGCAGCTGAATCAGCTTTACCACATAAACCCCAAAACTCCAGTAGTAAATTGGGAGGAAAGAAGAAATTCCATTCCTTCCACAGGATGAAAATAGGATTATACATTGATCATGGACCAATGGATAAGGTACTGGATTAGGGATGAGAAGATTTAAGTTCTATTTTTATCTAAGTTGTAATTAATTGAATGGGCAAGTACAAGTTATTTAGGGATGATACAAAGCTCACGGAACATAACGAGAATATTTTCCCCTTTATTTCAATTCCATTTGACACAGTCTCTCAGCCCTTCTATACCACAGCTTCCTCATATTTAAAATGGCCTCTTGGCATTTACCACATTCCTGTAAATATTCTGCAATCATTGCATAAAAGTATGTCGTATATTATTATGCAAAACTATTTCAGCAAGCATCTCATGCTTTTTTTTTTTTTTTCAGAATTCCGATCCAATTTTCAATAATCTTATCCATAATTTTAAAAGGAACAAAAGCTTTTGGCAGAGATCAATTATTAATTGATTTTTTTTCTTAAAAAACCCAACAAAATCTGCGTCAAGCTTCAGAGGAATGCTAGACCATTTAAGTGTTTCTCTTGATTATTTTACCCAAGCAGAGATGTGCTAAATGAAGAAAGGTTTTTCAGTTGAAGATGACATGGCAAATTTCACCTATACAACACTCTTCCAAACTGAATTGTGATTAAGAATGCAAGGGTATCAGACTGAGTCTTGAACAGAAATGCCATAAAGTTTGGGGTTTGGTTTTGTTTGGGGTTTTTTTAGGGGAATACAGGTCCTCAATTTTACCTGTCATTACATTGATTTTATGCAATATGGAAAGCATTGGAAAAATCTAAGAAAAATTATTCAAATTGCAATAGTTTAGACGATGAAAAGTTATGCACAGTGATGCAATTCCTAACCACAAGCTTTGTTCCTCTCCCGCTGCAGCCTACCGTGCCTCAGTACCACAACACACACCGCTGCGCCGGACTGAAATCAAACAAAGGATTGCTTCACTTACCTACAGTGGTCAGAGGAAAGATAAAAGACTTAAACTAGGAACAAATTCAATGCAACTTTATTTTCACCAGGAGAAGAAACTGATTGGAATCACGGTATGTGGGCACACGTTCCTTTTAATCTCTATTTTATTATTTCCCACAGCTTGCCTGAACTAATATATACTGCAGATTAGAAAAGATTCTCCTAAACAGAAACGTAACCTCCCCAGCTCACTACTCAAGGACAGATTCCCAGAGAGTAAATAAATCCTGCACTGAGGCAGTCTTCAAAGTATTGGATGCAGCAAGTTTCCTTCTTTTCTTGGATTTTGCAGCGTACGCCCTGCCTTGACAACATTTGGCAAACAACAGGACACGTGCACACTGCTTATCTTGATATCAAGTGGAAAAAGTAATTTTGTACAAAGACCTCGTGCCCTTCTGCAACCAGACAGACAACCAAGAAAGGAGGAAAAAAAAAAACACCCCACCCTTGTTTTGCAGTTTACAAGTGAATCATGACCAAGACACCTAAACAAAACCGTGCTTTGAGGGGGTGTATGTGTATTTGTTTTAAAGGGAACGGAGGTCTAAGAAAACTCCTCCAGACCTGCTGGTGTAATAATACACACAGCGTTTCAAAGCATACTTGAAGCCCAACGAAGACATTTCAAAAATTATTTTAAAGCAGTCTCAAAGTATAACACTGAATATGCAAATTTAGACCCTACCTGGAGTGCAAAGCCCACGTACAACTTCACCTAAGGGCAGACTGACAAAGATGCAGTTTGCCACGATCTTGTTTCCCGGACTGAAGGAAATGCTACACAGCCTAGACTATGGAGTTACTCAACCCACTACAAACAGCCCTCGGGTTGTCCCTGTACAGATTCGAGCTGTGTTGGCTATCAGCACATTATAGCTTGTACTAGAAATATCTGAAACCTTTAGTTCAAATGGCTCAGTCTGTGGTTTCAGCCCTGATGACCTTCACTTCCATGTTGTGTACTTTGTCCAAGTCGACTCTACTGTTTCCAGGGATGATCAGCCTTTGACGAATCCTTAACACAGGTAAACCACAGCCCAGCAACACGAACAGATAATCTACCACGTTATCACTCCCTTATCTTCTTTTGTGCACTCACAATCCAAGCCTAACTCTGTAACTGGGACTTATAAACTATGAGGCAAAGCATCCATCTAGAGCACGGGAAAAGAAAGCTTTACTAACAAAAGTGCAATGCTAGAGCCTCATCCCAAACCTGGCCCACGTTCCAAGGACTTCCAGCCTTTGCAACAGGGCTCTAACTCCTGATAGCACGCACTCGCATGAACGAGTAGGGATTTTGCAATGTAAAGGTGCTTTCCCTCCCTGTGAGGTCATCGGGCAGCACAAGAGCAGCACCTGACTGCAGGCTCTCCACCTTAAGGGTCTGCAAGTCACCGCGGTCTGTGGCAAAGCCACATGAAGTTAGAAGGTTGCGTAGTACAGAGGCCCGCGCCAAACTGCATCCACACCTTCTGGTTTGCACTTTAATTCACTTCATTGTGAATTAAACACACACACCTCCCCCAGCAGCTCAGCTGTATCAGTGTTCCGTCTCAAAGCTATTCAGCCAGCTGAGAGTCAGATAACATTTACTGTTAACACCAAAACCCAGTGCAAGCTTCAACCTTGCTGCCTCGCTGTCAAGGAACAAACTGTGCACTTCAGTTCTTACAGACAGAGCGGAGCCAGCCAAAACCCCAGATGCAGAACACAAAGAGCTTTCAAGCGAAGGCTGTTTGACACAGAGAGCCTTCACCGGACAGGGTTGAGGGATGAACACCTGCTGACTTCAACCAGGAGGAAAAGGGAGGCACGTTCTAGATGACTGACAGAGCGGGAAGCGAACTGTGGTGCAACAGCCCCGAGAACCTTCTAGTAACTCACAAAAGATGCTCCTGTGCACCCTGAGGTAGGGAACAACAGAAAGATTTTCCAAGTGGCTATTGCCATCGTACGAGAGCCTCTGGACAACCCTGAAAAATGTCCCCTTAATTCCCTCAAGAATGTTACCGATAACCTAAGGAACGCCCAGACTGGGAGCTGTGGGGATAGCTTACACCGACTGAAAAAAAGGAGCTCACAAGGCATCTCTGAGCCTTTCTTCCTGCAAAGCCAACGCCCTGGTTAAATGGAACCTTTTTTCTAAACTGGGACTTGTGTATCCAGATAAGAACAGTGATTAGTGGAACAAAACCCCACTTCTATCAGAGCAGAGCTGTATTTGTAAGCATACATCATTAGCATGAGAAGAAACAGAAAAGGCTTCTTGTGAGAACACTAATTCTCCAAAACACAACCCACAGATATCTGGAAAGCAAGATGAAAGCTGATGTCCCAAAAGAAAGGAAAATAAATATAATAAGGCAAGACAATTTCCTTGCGAGCAGACAGAATATCAGAATTTGGAGTTTTTAAAATGAATTTAAGGGGAGAAAGGCCAGACCCGCAGCAGTTACCATCTCAGAGACAATCTGCATCTTTTCCTTTAGATTCACAAATGTCTGGCCTGAATTTCTGGCTGGCCTGTCCAGGAAAAGTATTTAGTTTTACTGCAGTAATTTCTAGGTGCCTCAGTCACAAACCAGGATGCCACACTGATGCCCGAGTGTATGAAAACAATCAAAACACATTCACTTTGCAATCAATCTTCTCAGGCTGAAGTTTCAAACTGGGGCATTCCAGGCAATAAAAGGGATGCCATTTGGGTATTCAGTTCCTCTTCTTGACTGTCTCTCTGTTAAACAGCTGGTTACAGACCAAGCAGTAGGATTAAACGATGTTGCTTTAAAAAAGAAAAAGAGAGAAACAAATACCCCAACATCCTGGGAAGCACAGGATGAATCCTTTTCATGAGGGCAGTTTTCATCCCTGACACTCCCTCTCCCTTGTGTCTTTTTGCAAAACCAGTTGATGTGTTCGTACTATCACATACGGATTTTTTTTTCCCTTCCTCCTTCTCTCTCCCCCTCTGCCAAACACACTCACCACTATCACACACATCAGTGTAAAAACACACATCAGCAACATAATCTGCTTTGACATGTAGGAACTGGCTGTCTGTTTCCAGTGTCAAGGTCAAAGAGAAGTGGAAAGAGAACAATTGACTAAGAACAAATTGCTAAACAAGCAGCTTGCTGTTCCCAGCAGAGATACTAAAGAGTTTTTTGTATGCTGAGTCTTTCAAACTGACGCTGCTTGTGAAAATGATTGAATTTGTATTTTGGAAAGAGTATTTAAATTTTGGAGAGCAGCCTTCCAAATGAAGTAGTGACTAGTACATTCTGTAAAATGATGAAATGGCTGTGTTCCATTCTTAATATTGAAATCTTCATGAAACAGGCTCGTTTAATGAGTAGATATGAAACACACGAGTGTAATTTTCGTCTCATTTAAAATAGGAATTTTGTTTTCCTTTCTGCAAGATGTTCTACATTAAGGTACATATTATGAAAAAATTCCCAGGAAAGTATTGGGAGAAGCCTAAAAAGGGCATGGAAGCTCCATAACTGGAGGCTTTTTAAAACACATAATGCCAGTTCATGATATTATGGCTTAAACCAACATCACTTTTGAAACAGTTGGACCTGCCCTCTCCTTTTCTTTCATCCACTGCCTCTGTCGTCTCAGATCAAAGAACTAATTCAGGTTAAAAGCTACTTTAAAAAAAAAATAAATTATTATTATTTTTCAGCTGGATCAGTCCATCACATGACTGTACAAGCGTTTGGCCTGGCTTGGCTGGAGCCAAGGTAAACAGGTGTGGTGTGAACACAGAAATGAACAGCCAGAAGTGAGTGTTCCTTTCTCTTGCAGGGCTGCCTTGAGATCCCGGTGGAATCTTACCTTGACAAACCTCTGCCAGGAACAGGTAGATATGATCGCCACTTCTCTATGTTAAGCATTTTTAATACCATTTTAAAAGTTAAGTGCATACAGCAAACACTACACAGCAAGCTTTGTGCTTTTGGGCGTATCAGAAGTTGAAAACTGAGATCTGAAATTTGTATTATTTTTTTTTAAAAAAAAAATCTCGATTTGTTGTATTCACTTTCAAAAACTACTGTAAAGTACTTGGAAGTGATCCGCAACCTACCTTCATACATCTCCAAAATGTGAACGGTGTCGCCGACTTGCAAGGAGAGCTCCACATCTTGGACAGCATCGTAGTTGTAGATTGCTAAAAAGAGAGGGGGGAAGAGAGGGATGAAAAACAGAGTCATGGAAGCTGGGAGGTAATCAGATTTTGAAATCTGGTATCACGGCACCTGTCAAAGGCAGAATATGATTTTGAAAAAGCACTGTAAAGTTACTAAGCTATCCTGTGTATATAATCCACCGGAAAACTATATAGCATATCTCCAGATTCTACCACCAGTTCCTGCAAGGAGAAGAAACATTATTCTTAACAGCCAACAAAGTTTGTCTTTTACTTTTAAGAATGCAGATCTGTGACACTAAATGAAAAAGTTGCATCTTCCCACTTTACTGACAACCTGTCCAGCAAAGGTCACTATTACCTCAGGCAGAGGTTATGGATTAGTTAGGGGTCATTTTTTATTAGCATGTCACAGGACTAACTGCAACACAGCACTCACAAGCCCTGACAAAACAACATAAATTGTATGTCACCAGAAAAAACGCCACTATTACATCCTAAATGCCTCAGACTATTTGCTACTAAAGGCTCTTCCCAGACAAGAATGAATCTTAGCACGAAAATTTGAGATCCTCCGCAAATTTAATCCCTAACAAAGACAAAGCTAATCTGAATTCTTATCGGATTTCCAGGGGAATAGGATTAAGTCCAGAAGCCTACGCTTCTAAACTGCCTTTTCTCTGGAACTTTCCTGAGGTGCAGCTTTGCTGGACAAAGCAGAAGTGCTCTCCTTAGAGCTGCTGGAGCCTTGTCAAGATGAGAAAGTTTCATCTGAATTGGCTTCCAAACCAAGGCAGGTAAAAAGACATAAAGCAGTCAGGAAAATGCTTTGCTACGGTTCAATGAATTGATCAGCTAAATCAGAACAGATCACTCCTCTACCAAAATGAGATTATCTTATTTATTTATTTAAAACACTGGTTTGAGTACAGACCCCATCTTAAACGCAGCGATGCAATCTTCTTACACACATAAGTGGCATATTTACATATCCAAATCTGTTCCCCAAGCAAAGGAATCAGTGAAGTAAGCACAATATTTATTTTTAAGAAGGCAAATAAATCACGCAAGGATTTTCAGGGGGCTTTGGGAAAATTATTCAGACTTCAGAGGGTTTGTATTTGAAGAACTCGCTCGGAAAATGAAATAAATAAATTAAAAATTGAGCTCTTATGTCAGGAAATTCGCATCAAATGCCTATCATTTCCGTCAAGATGAGGTATATTGCCTCCTGGCAAGGATCCAGCATAAACAAATGATTGTGGCTTACCACACCGGAAATTATCTCACATATACCAGCTTTCTTTAAAATATCGTAACTATAAATAATCCAACAGAAGTGAGCAGGCGATGTGAATTCCCCGCAGTATCTGCAACAGACCTTGATCACAAACAGATACGTATTTTCTTAGGCTGCAGGGGCAGTGTTTGCTCCCAGTGGCCCTAACTCATGCCTACCGTAACTTCAGGTTGCTCAGTGTGCACTGAACCTAGTACATTGTTTTCCAGGAATGTCGCTGGACTCCTACGGCACGAGCTGCTCTGACATCCAGTTTCCTCTCCCTCCCTGCAAGTGTTGCAAGCCAAGATATTAAAAACTGACTGGTGAGCTGGATATTCACTTTAGACACTTTAAAGGCCGCAGAGAAGAGGCTCCAAAGTAAAAATCCCATCAACGCTTTTGCAGAAAAAAACTGCATCATGTCTATAGTCAAACATGAACATACACAGGAGGAAATCAGAGTAATCCGTTAAGAACTACCTTGTATTGACAGATGCCAAGACCATAAATTGACAGAACTAGTTAATATCGTATTTGACTCGGTTAAAAAGAAACTGTTCTGCCAGATATAGAAAGTAATTCTGCAAGGATTTGCAGAGGTCAGCATAAAAGTGCAGCTCCCAATCCCAAAGCAACTCCCTGCAGGCGTGCCTCCTGTCGCAGTAAACCTGCCAGGTCACTAACGGTACGCAGGGACGGTGCAATCGGCTGCTCGGATGGGACATCTCCAAACCTCCCCGAGGTGCGGATGGATGAAACAATCCAGGCTCCCTCTGGAGTCAGCGCTGAACTACATGGCGGGAGGTGTCGTTCCTCAGGTGAAGTCCAGGCATCAAGCTGTCTACAGACGTTAATAATCCCACAGCCCTGTCAACAGACTTAGAAGATTTAAAGCAGAGCGTCTTAGCCAAGTTCTAACTCGGCTGATTACATTCTGTCTACTGAAGTTTCCTCCTGTGGTTACAGCGGCACTGCCTTACTTTCTGTCCTAAACTGCTGCTTGGCTTCGTGGCGGCGCTCACCGGGAGAAACGGCTCCTCTTTAGAAATGCACGTGTGTTTATGCGTATAGGGATACATACAATTTCTAGATGCTTTGGGTTTCTTGGGGACAAGCAGGCATTATATAAATTCCAGTCTGTATTTTTCCATAAATTGCTGCTTTAGCCTCAGACAAAAGCAGTCTGAGCAGCACCAAGCGTCTAACAGAAAGGTGGGCGGGCATCAGACAAGCCTTTCTTTTGAGAACACAGACAGTTAATTCAAAACTAAAGAGCACAACAGCCAAAAGAAGAGGGAGAACTAAACACTGCCGTTCCCTTCCCCTCACCAAAGATCACGGCAGCCTCAAGATGGAGAACTAACCATTGCAGCTCCCTTCCCTGCTTTATCAGACGGGTTTCAGACCCCAATGTACGTCATTTACCAGCCTAAGGAACACACTTCTGCCCCTGCACATCGGAAAAAGGCAAGATGTGTTGTATCTTGCTTTGCTAGACTGAATTAAGCAAGAACAGAGGGTCACTGTATATAAAACCTCCTACCCAATGGTTATGCACAAGGTTATAAAAGACAAATTGCTGGCATATTTTCCCTGGGAGCTTTACTGTTTGCCACTGATGCTTCCTGCTGCTTGAAGTCAGCCCTGTCCGAAGTAGTCCATCTGTAGTTATTTGAACTGCTTAGCCTCTTTTTCACTGTGTGTATTTAATCTGACCTCATTCAGACTTAAAAGAAAAAAAGGAAGCAGCACATGACAAACATGGTCATGGTATGAAAAAATAAAATTCCTTCATATAAAAGGAAGGAAGGGAAAAAAACCCAACTTTTGTCCCCATGTTTCCAGGAATATCTTTTAAGACTTTTTGCTTCAAGTTAAACTTTAGTTGAGATTCTGTCATTTGAAATTCACTTTAGAATGGTGATCCTGTCCCTTTTATTATCCTGAATGAAAAGCAGCGCTGAAGTCTAGCCAATTTAATCGAAGTAAAGAGGCAGAGGTGGAAAACATAATTCATAAGAAGAAGATAGAGGGTTTGTTTTAATGATCATATTCTTTGAGCATTACTAGAGATGACTTATTTATTTAATTTACAGTCCCTCGGTTTGATTAGCGGAAAGTTTAAGAAATGGTTTTCTCACCAGTGCATCCAGCCTATGGAATCCATTAGGAGGGGAGGTCAGAGGAGCCAACATTGGGACTGGTTTGAAAAGGGCAACAGATAACTTTATGACTGGTGACAGCAGCCAGAGTAATGCAGGTGAAGATAAGGAGAAACAATTTTCATCCTCCAGGGCAGAAGGTGATTCCTCAAAACGGATGGAGAAGGAACTCTAAAGGCATTGCACAACTGGGCGTGCACGCTGGATGTCGGGGGACACGCTGCTCGCTCTGAAGCATCACGCAACAGTCATCCCCAGAAACAAGGACTACACGAATGGCAAAGGAAACCAGAGACAGCCTGGGCTTTCCAGGGCTCTGAGTAATAGCCCACGGTGAGCTGGAAGTTTCTGAGACGGCACAGAGTTTGACGTGGGCTGGCACACAGCAGTATTATGATGGGAAGAGCAGGTTTAGTTATGTCACTCCCTCCAGTTGTACGAGGACACAAGATTAATCACAGCACACGTCCCTGAGCAGGGAAATACCAGACAGTGGCACTTAATAAGAAGCCTCGATGTCATGCATGGGGCAGAAAATGAGAAGGAGCACAATTATATTACCAAAAAAAAACCCCAACCAAACCCAAAACACACTTTCAAAACCCACAAAGCTTCACTTTGACGAAGAGTCCTGGGAGAAGCCTTAATTGGCAAGAAGTCTATCAGCAACTCATTGAGCCCGACGCAGCTTTTAGTGAAACGTGGGAGATTTGGAATATGTCTCCACGACAGCAGTGCCAGGCTCATTTCTTCAGTGCCTACCGACACCATTCATCGGGGAGGAAGGTGACGGTGTCCTCAGCTCCAGTGCCACACACGGACTGGGCTTTGAAGAGCCAGCACACACCTGGAGAAGCGATCGCCCGCGCTCCCACAGTACCACTGACACGTTACAAAGGCTCCAAACCTTTCGCACGCAGAGGAACTCAGGGCAGAAAAAACGAACGCCATACTGTTCATCTGCAGCACGTTCAAAGGTGAAAACCAAGTCTTAATTCCTAGATCTGTTTTCACCGCAAGACAGTAACTCGTTTTCAAGACTAAAAGTGAAGCTGAGCTAAAATGGCTGAAACTAAAGTGAACGAGGCAGAAACTCCCACACAGTATTCTGTGTGTAATTCAAAGCAGAATGAAATGGAATCCTTCCCGCAATAACTTGTTTAAATGCATTTCAAATGTGGATTATTGGCCTGAAAAACACAGCCACTGCAAGATCCGTTATCTCTAACTTGGCTCAAAATAACTACACACACACACACACACACACACCCCCTCCCATCACAAAGACTCGATAACCGCTTCCAAATACCATGTCCCACTTCTCTGAAGCCTGCCCTCGCCACTATCTGATAGGAGAGGGCTGTGCCTTGCTTCCTCTGAACAAAGACTCACATTCAGTGCTGTTCCAATAACCAGACTTCAGCTCATTGCATCTTTCAGCTGAAGAGTCAAAACCTATTGTACGGAAACAGAAGTATGTGCTTTTATGCTGCAACAACCCTGTATTAAGAAATGGCATTTCTGCCGGACAGCCCCATTTGGAGAAGCCTGGTATGCTATCTGTTGCCAAGATATAACC